TACGAAATGTACAATAATAACGAGAATGAAGTTTTCCACATGATAAACATTTGCCAAACTTGGTCTCACCTTTTTGATTTCCTTTGTAATTCTTTTTTGGGACACCGTTCATTTTTACACGAGAATAGGAACCTCTGTTAAACGAACACAATTTTGATTGACCCTGAGATTGCTTTCCATCATGACAACTAATCAAAGTATTGGAAATCTTCATCGACTGAATATCAAGTTCATTCAACGCCTCGTAGTTAATGCACGCAGTTCTAACATCTTGAAAGGAACAGTTTGACATTCTTAACAGCTCTCTTTCCAAACTAGGTATGTTAATTCCTGCAATTAATCGGTCTCTCAGCTGCACATGAAGTTGATCACCGAAATTACATTTGACAGCCTGTTTCTGCAATTCAAGAATGAATCCCTTAACATTTTGGTCATTTTGACGAATCATCTTATGAAATTTCGCTCTTTCACGGCATTCAAAACCAGGGCACTTTACATGATTTAATAATAACTCCTTTAGCATTGCATAGGGAAGTGAAATAGGTTTCTCTGGATATGCCAAGGTTTTCAATAAGCTGTACGCTTCTTTTCCGATGAATGTTAGGAAATGAGCCACAATTTTATCATCTTTCCTGGTCATACTCCAGATTTCAAACCTTTCCAAATAATCTTCAAAAGCTTCAGAAGTAGAATGAATATCTAGCTGTTCCATTACAAGTTCCGTCGCGACGCCAGTGTAATGCTTAGAAGTATATGAATCAAAAATTAAAGATCTGCACGAACGAATGTATTGTATTTAGAATTCGAAATCAAGCATTCCACAACAACAAGAAGTTACTAGTTCATTCAAACACCACAGTCATATAGTTATGATAAGCTCAGCGTTGACTTTAATTGTAATGTTCGGAAATTATTTAGATTTGTTGAAAGACGCACCGTATATGTTTCTGAATTTTTAGAACTTATCAGTGTAGAATATACAATACGGAGGTAGTTTAGCTAGCTTGACCTACATATAAATACTCAGTTACTATGTCGCTGGAAAGTTCATGCTCTATCAAAAATTCTTATGACAACAGCTATTTTGGATGATTATGCTGACAGAAAGCACTACTTTTGACAAACCTAAGCGGTCACCAGTCTATCAGTCTTCCCATTAATTGTAGATTGCATTGCTATTTTCAGTAAATTATATGGAGTTTCAAGTGATAATTTCCTCGAGTAGGCCACTTCATGTCAACGTAGTTTAAAACAGCGACCGCACCCGATAAGATTAGAACAATATAGCGTTTATGGCGAACAGTATGTTATAATTCATTCATATAAACAAACAAATAAGTTTTCTTAGCAGATAACGATTTTTAGAGTTCCAGATTATCGATCCTTTTTGAAATAACGATAAAAATTCAGGTTTCCATTAAATCTGTAAAGTAGACAGTACTAGAAACATGCTCCAGAGCAATTACTCATGGAAAAGATTTATCAGCTTTTAATAAAACAGTCCTCAGTAAGAAAGATATTGCTTTAAAGTCAAAATTAAATAAATACATTATGGCTCATTCTAACAATTGTGAGAACAAGGTAATTAAGATGCAACAATTTCGAATATTCTCACTTCTCATACTTCCATTTGAAACTAGTTTCGAATTCATTCTCACATTATAAGTGATTCAGTATTCCTTGTACTATCCGCTTATACGATCACAAAGGATAGAAATCATTGAACCAGTTAATAAAGAATCTAATTTTTATGAAATATCATGATAGTATAAAGGTTGGCTTACTAGATTGTAAGCACTGTCAATGATTGACGTGGAGTATTCAACAAGCGGTTCTAGCAAACAGATACGGGATTAATCTGGAAAGAAGATGGTGCAAATTCATTTTCTGTGAACGTTTCTGTTAAATAAAGTATGTTTTTCTTAGTTTATTACACTGAAGCGAGACAGATAATGTTTTCATCAAAATAAAACCACTTTACTAGCTGATTATTTAATAGGATTAATTTAATTGTGACCTGATGATAAAGAATGCATCTCTTTTATATACATGTACTTTATGTACGGCGTTGGTGTGATTCATGTTTAAGTAGATGCTTTGAATTACAACTATAAACGAAATAATAATAATAATAAAGTAATTTGCGGTTTCGCAATATTAAATCATTACGAAAAATATATAAAAATTTTGGATCCGGAAAACTATAGAAAATGAATAATCTAAACTTTATCGAGCGTATGCGTAAATGATTTGTTTTCGATTATTCAAAGAATGGGAAAGTTAGATATCCACTTGATTTTAGAAGGAATATTAATTTTCTAGCATCTAAAGGAGATGGATTAAGTTTTCTGTTTACGAATATGATCATAAATCACTGTATTTCATCGACAACGATTTCTCACCAGATCAATTATCTCACCAACTGGATCAGTAGAAAAATGAATTGTTTACTGACTAAAATAAGTCACTTCTCAGTTTATCTGAAATCATTTGTTTGTTCATAAGAAGCATTTTTTAAGTGATATATTCTTAGAGTCACAACATGAGGAATTGTTCTTGTTCCTGATTAACCTCTGGACAATAAAAATCAGTGTGGAGATAGATGTATAAATCAAATAACTCAACACAGTTCCAACAAGCCGTAACAACGCGAATTTCTAAGATGATGAATTTACAGTCCCATTGGTAATGGTTAAACGTCTTGAAAAAGATTCATTATTGATCGGGGTTTTTTTAGATATTAACCTGTCTTACATTTAACTGGGGCTGTTACGAATTGACCTTGTTTTCATAGTAGGAAAAATGTTCTTTACTGATAACCAAATGATTTAGAAAGCTGGTAGAGATAATTTCTTACAAGTTATGAAACCAAGAAAATTTTATGCTGACTTTATACGGTAACAAAGCTTTGATTAATGAATTTTACACTACTTTATACAACTCAAAATTAAATATATCTACATAGGGACAGATAGGGTTACAAAAGGATTTCGAGGCATGTTTAACACAAGTAGTAACGTAACTAATAAAAATTCTTGTAGTCAGCTGTATTCACATGACGAATAGCTGACTGTCATCACACAAAGTGAAACATAGTATACTGATATCTGAGTGATAACCGATGCTACGACTGTTAACTTCTGGGTGCTAGTCGAATTCTGTTGATCAGTTCGACTAATTAATATGAATACCTGAGTTCTACAGCGGGTCAGAATACCTCAGTTCTACAGATGGTCAGAATACCTCATTGATACCGTGTCTAACCACAACAGTGGATGACACGTGTCTAAGTTGTATAAAGAGCATGAACTCCTTCAATACTACAGATACACCTTACTTACGAATCACAGTTAGTACAAAACCTAGATCGGTGGCTTTTTTTGAAACGTCTGTAATACGTCACATTGAATTTACATTGTATTCGATGATCAATATAGTCTAAAACCATACAAGAGAGATGGTCCAAATCAATATTATTTTATTATGATTACTGACTAAAATAATCACTTAGATCAATGAAGATTTAAAGCGATATATATAATCGTGGTGAAAGATCATCGTATTCTATTTTCGAGGACTTCAAGAGTCATGAAGCCGATAGTAAGGTGGTACGCAGTCGATGGACTATTTTAAATTCATAAAGTTACTATTCTGCATCTTCTCTGATTTTTGTATTTCGCTAATTCCAAGTACCACGAAGTTATATCCTTACAATTCTGCAGCAACTTGGATGACTTCCAGTCTCCCACGTTGTACGAATATTCCATGTACTTAAAATAACGGTAGGTCTACTTTTCAGAAGTGGCATTGGCCTTTGTTACTACCGAAGAAACTCGGCTTTCATTATGAAACGTCATAACTGTTCTAAGAACTTGTAACTCTCAGGACAGAGTTTAAATGATTTAAATTATTTGTTCTGGTAAGCGTTTTGTTAGCCGGTTAATTTACTATGGAATGGAGTTGCTTATGCCATATACCTAACCCTATTCCTTTATCTGGTTTTGGGACCAGAAGTAGCCACAGGTGGAGTTTCTCTCATTTTTGGTAGGAATGCTTTGTGATTAACGCTACATGCTTTCTGCAATGCATCTAAACAATAAAGACAATTGAAAATTTCACACTAAGGCCATTTAAAATGTAACTGTATATTGATATTGTAGTACGAAAACACTTATAGTATATCATAGTTAAATTATTTAAGTAAGATCATGTTATTTTCAAACTTAACCTGTTTGAAACAGTAAGGCGAGATGCAAATGTTAACATTTGATGATTAATGATAATCATGTCGTTTGTTTTCATAAGCATAGGCGTGATTAAACGGGGTCGGTATTCCTGAATGGTGTTAGTTTTAGAAAATAAAACACCGTAAGGTTGTACTAAAGATTAGATACCCGCATAATAATGGCTTAACTTGTACTGACAATAGATCGTCTTATCAAAGAACTCGAAATACGTAAAATTATTCGCCTGTTCATCTGGATGGATTTAACGCAAATTTTTATTACAGTAGCCCGATGATAATTTTACTTATCTCAAAAAAATAGGCTTGTTTTCAAGTGGAAAATCTGTGCCTTATAGTCAGTGAGGTAAACAAATTCTGATGCGTTTTGAGGATTTTTAATACCATTTATTCTAAATAATAGTGAGGATCTATGCTTGTTATAGCACTACTTGAAATCTGTAATCTAATCCAATTGGGATTTTTATAGAAAGCTATTATTCGAATGAAGTAATGTTATTTATTTTTCGCCTACTTTATTAGTTTATATTCTCTTACTACAAAACAATGAACACTGATAAAGATAAATGTAGCCAAAGTACTTGCCACAAAGTTACATTCACATTGGTAAATTACACGAACTTGTACAATTTCATATAATAGTGTTAAGAAAGTTGGTAGACATGTAATTACTCATGTCTAAAAAGACAAATGTCCAGCTTGTTTATGCAAAAACAAAACAACATATCATGATAGCTGATTTATTATAAATTAAGATGTTTTGTGTAATTTATACAAAAATATGTCAATTATTATCATTATTCAACAGAAAGCACTAATCTACAAATGAATAAGCGTATAAGTTGTAAGTTGCTTTACTAATTAGTTTTTTTTTCAGTTTGTATCTTCTAGCATTCTTTCTGTAGTTTCATTAGCATGATGATATCCAACACGTAGAGATATGCATGTAGCAGCGCAACAGTTGCAGATTTTGCAACGTTTTGGCATTTTCCTATCCTCGATCCAAATGCTGGCAACCAGAGCTGTGAAAGTATGCATTGAAAAAAAGACTGGTTGTGCAAAGTAATAGTTGAAAGTATTTTTAACAGCAATCATCGCTAACAATTTACTAAAATCGAATACAACATATTATCGTTCGGATATTTAAGTCCCCCCTAAGTAGTGTAAGTGATCTTTTCGATACACACAAACAGTTGTGTTGTTACGCAATTTATCAGACCTCGTAGAAAATACCGATCGCTGATGTAGTTTTTAATTTTATTTAATCAATATACTGCACTATAATAACTCGACTGTGCATAAATCGCTGCTAATACGTGTTCATTCTTGTAACTCTGTAGAACACAAACGATATGGTTGATGATAATGGATATAGTTATTGGATGAAGAAAATTCCAATCCAGCTTCCTCAGTTTGTGAATAATAAGATCATTTTATTCAAAGTTCCCTAGACCTCTTCTAACAACCTAAAAATTATCGCTAGAAATTAGTGGAGATGCACTATCATTAATAATACATATCGTCCTCAATGTGAACATGTGGGTACTACACATAAACGTGTTACATTCCTAAATCGAAACAAAAACCTGTAAAACTGTATTATGAACAACTTTAGTCCTATTCTTGTATTTAGAGATTGTTTACAAGTGGAAATATTTGTCAATAAAAAAGGCCATAAAATGTAAATGCATGACTTGGTTAATATTTACGATTATATTACATAATATTCATATGACGTACAGGTGAATATTCTCAGAGTAACATTTACCAATATCTTCGACCAACATCGTTGTTGCCGTTCCGTAAGATTAATTTAGACAGCCATCAGTATATCTTATGATTTAATTTCCGGTTCACTTACCCTGTGTATTCTTAACGACTGATGATTACCTTAACTGGACACTGGAAAAAGTCGGAGCTGGATGGAAAGATGCCCTGTTAGGTATAGAATAAATATTCTTACAATTCATGCCTATTTATGAATAGACAGACTATGTTTCGTAATAATTTAATCTAAAGGAATGATCTACGCGCTTACTACAGTTCATCAACCCCGTTACATTTATTTATTTATTTTGCTCCGTCTATCAGTGAAATAATTTACATATTAATTAGTAGACCGTCAATAATTAATACGAAAACTATATCTTACCAACTATGCACACGCAACCACAACCAGTAAACTGTATCAAATAAGCATTCGGAGTGTGAATAAAATTTGTGATGATGGAACAGAGAAGACTGCCAACCGTCTTAGAAAGAGTTTCAAAAAGAAAGCAATACCATAGAGTAATATTTTAGTACATAGGCTTTGCTGTATTTTAATTACGAGATTAAATAAATCAAACATTTGAAATGAATGTAAATGAACATATGTCAGATAGTGATCTTCAGTAGGTTAGAAGCTTTGAAATTACCAATGGTGACAGACTTCTGCATTTGGGTGAGACGACCGTACATTTCACTAGTTAGGCGCATCCACATAAGAATGTCGGAGATTATCATAAACGATATCTGGAGTACATGCTATACAGATCACCTTCAATATCCTCACAATGATAGCTTTGCTACAAAAGCCCATGTTTATAATTACTGCTCTCTGTATTTACTCGGCGAATGTGAACCTCACCTTCAAAACAAGCCTAGAATATTCGTATACGCCTGTCTTCATAGAAATGTCAACTTATAAAGACATCGTTTGGGTAGTTATGCAATCATGTGGAGTGTTTAGGATATGGAAGTTGTCTTTAAATGATGACATGTATTTCCAAAGTATTGTACTCACAGGCTTCCTGATGTTTAACACATAAATTCTCAATGGAAAGATTGAAACTACCAATACAAATGAACAAATTTTAATAGCTTTTAATAACCAAGCAATGTTGTGGAAACAGATTTTAAGCTTACTGTGTGATTTTTCAAGTGTTCTACACTTAGCTGTTGTCTGATAGAAGTATGACTACTGTTCTGTATACTAGTACTGTAAAGTGGTTTTTATCACGTTAACCTCATCCGATGATTAGAAATTCGTGGAATATGGGTTAATTAAGCTGCCACTAAACTCTTCATACAAGTGTGAATGATTTACGAGAAACTAGTTAGAATTTAATGAGTGCAGAGAAAATAAAGAGTATTATGTGAAGTGCAACCGTAGTATTCATGAGTTCTAGTTATAACGGCAACTCAGCTGTCAACAAGATATCTTTAAGTCATTATATTAATAAGAGAAGACAAAAATGAGTTGTAGGGAATAAAAGAATATAAAAATTCTTTGTCTCTTACAAATGCAGTAAAAATAAGACCATAATTCACTGCCATATTTAAAGGGCCAAATATAATTCCAGTAGCTGCAGGTTGAATGACGAAAACACCACTCAGTGAAAAGAACAAAATGAATACCCAAATAGCATATATAACTTGTAATCCAACACCTGTCAGTGATCCAATATGTGGAAATGAGAATAGTACTATTGCCCAAATTACAAGCATGATCATCATTGGTATCTGAAATATATCGCAAAGGTACGTAATGTTATTCTAAGTTTACAAAATATAATACATATTACTCGACTATTTTACAATATCAAGATTGAATTTTACTAGCATTGAAATCAGCTGAAAAAAATTGCTTGTTGCATATGAGTGAAACATAGCAGCTAACCGAGAATACTAAATAGTTTGGTAAAATACCTCAAAATCCTATCAAAATACAGGCATAATGTCGAAATGTTTTTTTGGCTGAAATCCGACATCAACTCCATCACCCTTCTGAATTCTTTATTTCAGTGGTCTTAACAATTAAAACAAATAATTTTCCTGAGAACCGAGAACTTAAAACCCGTCACTGCTGAGTGACAGGTTACAGCGTCCATGTTCTACTGAACGCTATTATGTTATATGAATGGCGCTCAGTAGATTTTTTTTCAAATTATTAGGCCGCTTAATTCTTGTGATGTTCATAAAAGATATTTAGCATATGCAGAAATTTATTATCTTCTTTGTTGTTAAGATGAACAAGTCGAATTCGTGATGCAGATAAAGCCATTGTAACTTTTATCATACCAGACCAGGGCAAAAATGATTCGTCATTCGGTTTTCGCATGTTAACTCTTCGTAGATGACTGGTGTAAAGTTCAACTGATGACTGAACAGAAATGGATGTTTCAGTTAAAGAAGTCAAAGCCACACTGCTAAATACCAGGTTCAATAAACGAAGCCCATCAGATTAAGACTTGAGTTTTATTTTAATGAGTATTTAAAAACAACTGCAGATGGGATATTTTAGACAGCAATATCTTCATTGCATACCTTGAAGGATATTCGATCAACAATTGCACCCCAAATGACACGACCACCAGCATTGAAAAGGGATGAAAATGTAGCAACAATCGATAAGAATTGGTCATTGTCAATGTACTGATGACCGAATAGCTAAACGAATCAAAACAAAGAATGATTAGACGAATTGAAAGGTAAACACCTTAAAATGAAAATTATTAGCTGCGGAATTCTCGTATAACAAAGATTTATTTGTGTTTTGAAAATAATCTGTTTTATGATGCATGAACAAAATATTTTATTAGTTCAATACAAGTAGTCAATCAATCAATCCCTTATTTCTATTATTTATATTTTGATAAATGAACAAAACCAGTTGAGGTATGAAGTATTAATTTTAAACAAATGGTACCCATTCAGTAATTCTTAAGAAGCCTGGACTTTTTGTATCACACAGTTAAATTTTCTCTCTACAATAGTAAATTAGATTAGATTACAATAGTAAGATGTTACTAATTCGACTGGTGTCCACATCAAAACACAAATTGAACAGTAAGTAAAGACATTTCATGGTGATTTAAACAGAAAAATAAGGAAGCAGTGACGAAGAGTGGAAGTTTTTTTTAAGAGAATTGTTCCACTAAATTAAGAGTTTCAAAGCGATAACATTAGGTATTATTTTATGAATTATAGGCTGTTGTTTAATGTATGATTCACCGCTATACTTTTTTCTATTCTAAAACTATTGTAGCTTAAACGTAATCTTACTAATCATTCCGTTTTTCTTATTCTTTGTGCATTGTGGCTTAAGTAGTTATATAGTTATTCATGTCTATTTCGGTTGACCTGAATCAGGAATAAATCGAGTGGCGTCTCGGTCGATTCATCTTCTTTACCGCCAATCTGTCAGGCGATTTAGTAGTTTTGTTTGCTCTGCCATCAAGGTTTTTCAGGTACAATCGAGTAAATGTATTGCTAACCTTTAAGCCTATTGCATCAGGGCCTTAAACAAGATCGAGATAAATTCCAGTCCTGAATAAAGGACGTAATGCATGAAAACCAGCAAGTTAAACTCAGTACAGTAAGAAAACTAGGTGTATTTATAACTTTTGCACAGGAAGATGTCAAACTATATTTTATTTATCTACGAGCATTGACAGGCTAAAAATGAACCAGTCTACGTTTCCTAGTGTATCCTGTTTGAAATATACTTCAGTTGAATCTCTGTCTTGCTAACAGATTAGCACATATTTTAGCAGAAAAATATCACAGCAACCTTTTTCTCTAAGTATGAAGTAACCACATCTCGAAATGTTTTGTCAAAACTTTGGTAACACCTTAATAACTACAAAAATATTATCTAGGAATCATTCATAGGCGAAGGCTCAAGAAGCTAACACTAGAAACTATCAACTTCTGGAAGTTTATTCAAAAGAAAGTATTTCAAAAGTGTCAGAACAGACATTATTTCACCACAATAGATTTTAAGTGAATATTCACTTCCGTAATTTAAATGTGAAGCGCAGAACAAACTAACCCAAATAAATTCTATATAAACGGGGCACAACCTCATTTCCTATAGTTTTTCATTAATTTTAAGGAATGTGACGGATTTTTGAAAACATAAAACATAGCACTGGAAAAAATTAGTGTGAAAAACTCTCCAACTGCAAATCAGATAGAGAGAATGAAAGTACTTTAGTCCCACTATATGCACCAGGAAAAAATAAAGATGTTAGAACATAGGCAGTGTGCAAGTTTTAGGGATGAATATTAGAAAATGATATGTTATTACTCTGTTTGCCAATATATATATATATATAGGATATGTAAAATTGATGAGACTTCCGTTCTATACAATAAATAGCTTTTAAAAACTCACCTTATAGACTGATGTTATTATGGTAATTGGTATAATATCACAGAACATCACAAACCATAAAAGATAAAAGTCTATGTGACGGAATAACTGTTTGGGTTGGACACAAACTTCTCTATAAAAGAAAGACAAAAAAATCCCGGGGTTATTTTGGAACTTTACACTTATTCTATTTCATAATTTGTCAACTGACTCATAGACTGTACATCTTCCTACTGTTCTCCTGTCAACGGAATTCCAATTCTTATAAACAACGTCATATGTCCTCCGTCTAATAATTATTTTGAGCACAACTTCTTCATACGGAAGTCGATATTTAAGACCATCAAAAATAATCTTAACCATAATAACTTATTTATGAGTGCAAATTTCAATATTTTACTGTTCAGTGATATTTATAATAACGTGAAAAAGATTATTGTAAAATGTTTTGAAATTACGGCTACTGTTCGAATATTTAACTAAGATAGCATTCTCAAAAAGGTAGCCAGAAAAAACCGAATCATATAATCAATTCACAGAGCTTCATGAAAGAAAACAGTGGATTAAATGAAATTTTTGGTAAGAGCTGTTTAGTTAAGAGAAGAACGACTGATAACTAGAGCTGTATCATGATTAATAACACTCACAATTTCGGTTCCTCTTGTGTATATTCTCTCTGAGGAAATTATAGAAAATCTTAGATAATGTACACCGGAAATAACTGATTTGTACACAGTACTAACTTAGTTAACAACAACTTACATTACATTACTTTTACTTATGAATAAAATAAATCATACAGCTAACGACCTAGTGAAATTTTTAAATTTTCTATTTGGCAACTATTTCATTGTTCGTTAGTAGATTGTTTAAATGTTCGTATGTTAAATGTTTGTTAATAGATGATTACTGATTGAAGAACAATAATTTTTGCTCGTGAAATATTGATTCAAGTTTTTCAACTTCAGTTAGTCTTAAGCAGAATTAGAATTAATAATTAATCTTATATAGTGAAATGATCAAACTTTACCAGTACGTATTCTAAAGAATAAGGTACAGTTAATTTTACTTTTTGAAAAGTCTTGCAAATAATCTCAACTACATTTTATAGCTACAGTGCAAATAGACAGAATTATTTATTAATCCAAGTAGTTGATAATATTTTGCTAAGTAATAAACAATATTTAATCTACTGAAACACGTCAACGCTAGTGGTCCTGTCTTCTGTGAGGAAAATGTAGGCTTAATAATATTGTGGTGCGAGCTACTTATAAGTAGTATATGACGTGAGTGTCAACGTAATGTCTGGCAGCAGAAGATGGGGGAAGATCAAGAAAGGAAGAGTTAGAACACAATGGAATTTGTATGAAACGCATGAATAGTGACAATGGATTGATGTTTTGCAACAGGAACAGTCCAGTTCGATATGATGAACTGATATTTTGCAAATTAACGATTTACAATATGGTTTTCCGATTTTACTGAGTAACTCTGTGATTTTCGTTGCCTCACCTGTGTTCTCGTTCACTACAATATTAGTGATAATGATGTTATTCAGTATTATATGTTTATTATAAAAATGGAGTTCTCAACGTGAATTATTTGGACAGATACCTCTTATTCTACCTGAACGTTACAAAGAAGATACATATATATGCGTACAGTAAGTAAATAAAATCATATGAAGAAAATCAGAACATGAACAACAATGAATAAGCAGTAAGTAAAGTAGAATAAGCTTCGGAACATTGCTTAAGTGACGAAATCTATAAGTGGTATTCGTATTTTGAAGTGAATACAAAGTTTAAAGTAAATAATAATAGATTGGACATTATTCATGAAATGAAATTTAGAAAAAGTAACTAATGAACTTACAGTAACTGGATTAGGATCAGAATTTTCTCTATTCCGCGCAACCAATTCTGTGTCTTGTTCTCGTGTCTTGGTCAAAAAGAAGTTAATACAAGTTAATACTTTAGTGTAGTTTAAATGGTGGATGAGTAATAACTTACAATAGGCTATGTTAAATATTATGAAGCAAAGTGACAGAACCCAACCTGTTAATAAGAAATTCCAATTCAGAATATATACCTTGGTTCACTGTAAATAAATTAATGATACTCTTAAACTAATTGTTTTCATTTGGTACAAATTCACTGCCTAATTTCTACAACACATACGTAAGCAAAATCAATAATTATTAATGCAAGTTTATTCAAAAATTATTTTCTGAGAATTTCAATTTAATCTTCATAAATAGATACACTCGAACAGTGAAAATTTGATTCCCTATCTTTTCTCTTTGTTTTCTCCTATATTTGTAACATGCTGCTCTGTTTAAGGAGAACTTGAGTAAAATAAAGGTATTACACAAATTCATTCGAACACCTAAAAGCCACTGTTTTTACCATAAACGAAATAAATCATGTTTAGAAGAATTTTTGACGATTCAAAGATCAAACTGTTGTAAATATAATAAATTAAGATGCACAGTTATTGATTTTCAGCATCAATGAAAAACATATGTTTAATACTCACAATTTTAGGTGGTTTTGGACGCAATAATATGAGTCCAATTATTTGTAATCCAAGAAGAATACCACCAAGAATCAGAAATGCAACTGGAATCCGGTCAAGAACATCGGGATTGTTATAGTATCTGTAAAAAATTAAATGAAAAAAAAAATGCTGTTTACGGAATGCGTATGTGCTGTTAAAGTTATTGTGTAGAACTCTTGGTACTGGTGAGAGAAAATTAGATCTACTCTAGATAATCGCCAGTTTATAACTTAGATGGATACAGCATTCATTTGATAGGGAAGCAGTGCTCATCAAATGCCTAAACCATCAAGTTGACATTAAACATATCAAATAAAAGTCTTTGAGTAAGGTTAGAACGACAGTTGAGGCAGAATAGTATGAATTTATTCATTATTGCTTTACTACATACATAGTTGTAAGTAGCTGATGAGAAACCAAGAAATACAGTGACTTAATATTATTCTACCTTCATTGCTGTTCTGGCCTTATTTAAATTTGTAGAAACAGAGTGCATGAAAACAGCCTGTTAACACTACAAAAAAGGCTGGTAGCTGAAAATTTCCATATATTCCGCAATGGAAAAAGCCTTACTATCCATTTGACTTGGATCATCAATCCAAGCTACTATATCTGATTCTGTTTACACCGTACTCTATTCTCAATTAGACATCTAACTGTATCCTGTGACATTACGAATATCACATTTTTCTCATTCACTAACACAAACGCAATTAAACAAGCATATCTCATATATGCATATAACCTTGACGGGACTGACATGACATTAACTTAGTGAGATTTGTTTTGATTGACTGTACTAAAAGCTTCTTCTTTGTTCGTTTTCACTATTTAAACTCTACATGAAGAACAATAGTTCACAGTGGAAATCTTGCTTTAAAAGCACATCCTCACAAATTCGAGTGACCTAAAATGATCTCTTCAAACATGACCAGATATATCTGTGCTCTAGTGAAAGCATCACGTCGAGTTCTGATTACACTCTATAATGTACCAAGCTGACTTTGTATTTTGGTAGTCGTCGAAACTTCTTGATCTTCTAACAGTCAACAGGTTACAGATGCAAGAATGTAACTAATTTATAACTTCTGAAAGTTTTACAAAACCTATGTAATGGCAACAGAAATTAGCCGTTAGAATGAGTTATCGGCACAGAAACAACTGGTTTCAGTAACTTTCACAAACTAACCCAGCTCATTTGAATGGGTCTACTGAATAAATCTGTAGAGTTGAGCGAACATCAACCCAGCTAAAAAGTGTATGTTTTGAACGAACTTTATTTTTGAGAAACGTTACAAGATACCTGACAGAGATGAACTATTTTCACTTTCTTTAGCTATGTAGGGTTTTATTCTCATTTGAGAATTGACTGCATTGTTTATCGCAAGGTAGTGATGATCTTATTCAATTTCGAAACAGGAACATCCAGAAACCCAAATAACACCACCTCTAATATTTCATTTTGCATGAGGTATTTTTGTTCTCCGTCTTACTGAAGTCTTTTGTGATAAATAAATAGACAAAGATGAAAGGCACTTTACACTGTTCCAACATATTATTGTACTGTACTCTTTTACAAAGGACCTTTATAAAACGTAAGAAAACTAGTGTTTTGAATGAACACCTCCAACTTCTGTGTTACATATAGTTTAAATAGAGCAGAATAACATGAATTCATTTTATTTCGTGGTTTCTCATAAACTGCATACAACTTAAACGTAATAGGATTAATTATTAAAAATCAGTTTATGTACTTTATAATAATAATATTCGAAATATTCTTATTGATAAAGGTTAATCAACGCTAATAGATTTATAAGAATTATGAAAGGTTTACAAATGGTAAGATGACAATACAAAAGTACTGAAAGAAAGGATTAATATTCAAAGTTAAATTATGATTACAACAAAAAAAAGACTGATTAGTAAATAAACTTGAGTAAAGCTCAATTCAAATCCAAGGACGTATGAAAAGAGAGAAGACTGGATTAATTTTTACTAATCCTTATCGATGAGAATATTTCTAATTTTTATGATATGAAATGTGTACGCTGATTTTAAATGAGGAATACTATTATGTTTAGGTTGTATGCGGATGATGCGAAAGCACCAAATAAAATGAACCTGTGTTATTCGGTCATATTTGTTGTTCTTACTGTATTCAAACTTGTTAATAGGAAAAACTGTGTGAAATTCACTTTTAGATTAAATGCTCTGACAATCATAGCTTGAATTTATTATAAAAATGTAGGTGCCTACTGATCTGAGAGACTCAAACTTAAATACTCATACTGTTTATCCAGATACGTTGATCTTTTGAAAAATGACCGGACAAAAAATCCAGATGATTTTTCTTGTCTTTATCACACAATTTCAGCCATTGCTTCTCTGCTCTGTTGAGTGGGTGTGCAAATAATTCTGAATCCATTTACATTGAATAATAACTCGAATCATTATATTACACCATTCCCATTCGTTTCCAACTACTGAAACACGAATTAGGCTTGTAACACACTTACATTATTAACTCAACATTGTTTGAGTTTACATTCGAAAGATGAGACAAAGGTTGACAATTAGGGTTTTAATTAGTAAGTTGCCCAGTACAGATTGTAAAGATGCAACCCAAAAGACTATCGTCAATCACAACCGCGTCTAATAAATGACTTGTGATCAACTTCTCTTCTCTGAAATATCTGCTGTCCGGTAAGCTTAAATAGGACACGTAGTATCGGGATGTGTTGAGTCAAGTATCGTCGTCAATTTTATAAGACCAACGGGTGAGCAACTTAAAGAGAATGAGACATATCAAGATTGGCAATTTTTTGAGTACATTATATGCTTAAAACACATAAATTATACTCGATCACAACAATGAAACGTATTCATTCATGGTATTATCAAAACTGTGAACCTGTGAAATCTAAATTATATTTCTTAGGTAACTTTGTGTATTTTCAATAAAATCTCTTCATTACGGTCTGTGTTACTATCTGGGGCTCAAAATCATCACAGTTGGCTGCTCTGAGAGGCCACTTCTAGAGTTTGTCTAAAGATTTTAACTCGATGGAATAAAGTCAGTTGTATGGTTGTTGCAGTCAGAGAGCAGTGCAAACAAATGCCATCCTCTCCGAAAAATGAATATGCATTGTCTTATCAAATATACATTACGTGTTATGATACGAAAAGTCTTTAAATGATGAAGTGAGAAAGTAAGTTCAGAAAAGTATTACTACTGAATAACGTGTCTCTGAAATTTTAACGTAGTCATGACTCTATAGTAGCAGTAATCATTCTTCGCTAAGAAAAGTACAGAGAGATGGATTCTTTAATACTTAGTGAATGTAGTTTTACACGATCAGGTCATAGACTTTGCCGTATGATCATTACGAAATCTAGCAACTTTTTGTATTGATTTCAGTGGCAGAGGGATTTTTAATACTTCTATCGACTTTCAGACCATTCAATTAAAGAAATAGATTATTTTTAAGTAACTCTTAACAAAAAGGGATCAAAAATAAATGATACCTTGTTTTTGCATCAACAGGGACATTATTTGGATTGATTAGAGCAGTTTCTATTGGAGTGAACACCAGAGCCCCTAAGCCAAAGCCACCAACAATCAAACCAACCACGAGACCACGTCGTTTTGGGAACCACTGTTATTTGGCAATCACGCGGTTTTTGTATAAATGAACAGATGGAATGACAAACAAAGAAGTATCAAAACATCATTTAATCTAAGATACAATAACTTCTAAAGTTAGAAGCGTAGTTGAAAATGTTGTTTATTTCTGCATAGATGTGCCATAAATGCTTAAGTATTGCAAATTCAGAGCTAAATGTGAGTGCTGGTGGTTGGGCGTGTGAAAATCGCTTTTGACTAGGATCTGTATGTCTATCAAACCTCTTCCGCTGGAACACTAGGGAATGTGCAACTCAATGACTTGAAGGGTCACGAGATGAGGCTCAAAATAAAAGCCAGTAGTGATCGTGCTATGATTTTTTTTAACTTTTTTACGAGTGAGAGAACTGTATTGTCCATAATATGTCATTCTTTTACACTTGTTTTTCTGATCGTACTTCTACCCCGTCTTCCTTATTTTATCAAAGTCTTATCTCTTTAGCACTGAGCCGCATAATTTTTTGTCCATAGTTATATTACAAATTGTGTCAAAAATAAGACTAGATGAAATGAATGCAAGCTCCACTAAAACCCTATACTTAAATATGTAAAGTATTTGAGAATATCGGATAATCTATTCTCACGAAAAATATTTACCTCACATTTAATTCGAATTTTACTAAATATTTTTTTAACCATGTGAGAAAACCGAAATTTATTTTGGTGAACTCCACAACCTGATGTTTGCGCTGAAACAAAGTTGAATTAATCTTTGCAATATCTCTGGCTTCACTATCTCAAAGTACCCAAGTTGTGTTCAGACAAAACTTCAGCGCTTTTATAAAAAACTTTAAATCAAAAAAATTTACTTTCTTACCGTTGCAGCCACAGCCAATACTACAGAATAGCCAAAACCTAGACCCAATCCTTGCAGCACAGAATATGTAATGATGACTCCAGCGAAGGATCTTTGGATTGTAACGTACGTCAGAAAGATACTAATACTAAAAGTACGGAAGCGCAAACAACACGGTATTTGAATTTTTGTCAAAACGAATTTCATAATGAAGGCCAAGCTATCTAGTACTCAAAATCGAGTCGTCTGATACAGAAATGATTGGCTGAAACTAGATATTTTCTTTAATCAATACAAATAAATTGTTAAATTAAGTGATTTGAATTAACGGAAAGAACAAGGTACACAGAAAATTATTTTCAATTCAAATAGACATATCTAAAACAAATCAAACAGTGTGATTGTTTTATTTAACATTTTATTCAGGATCAATATTTCGAAGGTAATGAGATAGGAGTCCTTTATTCTAAGGGGATTATAAAAGAAATTAGAGTAGATGAAACCGATCTCTCAAAATATTTTGAAGTGACAGAGTAAATCCATTACCAGTGAAGGTGGGGACTTGGAAATCTCCTTGATTTCGCCTGTACAGTTGAGATTAAAGGTCTCTTCTATCTCCTATAATGCTTTCATGTGCCCAAAAATTTATGGCTACTGCTAGAGAAATATCAGCTACTTCCATCGCTCAGCGAGAGTACCTTAGCGAGGTGTTGCGATCGGTCGAAATATATGTGTGTCTGTTTAACCGTGTCGGAGATTTCGGCTTAACTTAATTTTGGTCATTTTTAGTGTCATCTTAATAGTATTCCGGTGGTTAAAGTTAGGAAGTGGTCATTGATGATTTTAGCTCAATTCTGGGCGCTTGAAATCTGGCCTTTCAAAGTTAAGGATATCAGATGATTCTGCTTTCAGTTAACGCTGTATCTGAATTGCTGCTAACATCCAGTGGCAACATTATGTTATTAATGCAGAGGTTCACTGATAAGTTAGGGAAAGGTGACGAAAAAAACGATATGTACTCATCTTAAAACACCAGCTTCACATCGCGCATTATATTCTGATGTTGGAAGTTGTTGGGGGTGACCAGTTTGACATAACTCCAGGATATGAAAGCTCGCATTTGTCGGTTCTTCATGAGTTTTTGATTAGGATCTAGGGGATAGTGAAATTTAGTGGTTTGATAAGTTGCCACACATGGATTAGAATAAAATAGAGGGGCCATTTAAGCTTAACGTTATTCCTTGCTATGTTTTTTCGGATGAATAGGTCCTCTTATTGTAGTCTAATTAGACAACAACAAAAGAGGGCAACGAGTTATTTTATACTGGCTTGTGAATTAGATTATTTTATTATTATTATTTATTATTATTATTAATATTTTATTATTATTTCTGTCTACTTGTTTGTTCGATCACACTTCTTCCATTTCTATCTCTTCATAATCTCATTGTCTTGTGACGAACATTTGATACGATTTTGATTTGTGCTAACATATTAAATTAAATAATAATATCGAAAGATATCCCAACATAATATAGTGTAAAAACCAAGTCTCACCACGATCAAAATTAGCAAACGAGGTGTAATAAACGAATCGCTTCACTTATGTTTAGGTTTTCATTGATCACATCAGCACAATGGGAGGTAGCTGACCTGATTTAAAAAAAGGGTCGTGACAAAGATACCAGGAATCTTAGGAGTTCAAATACTAGAAATACAGTTCAACAGAAACATTGAAAATTAAAAATCCGTGAATAAGCGGTAGACAAAGAATAAACCACGCTGATACTACAGTGTACACGTAACAAAATAGCAGGGTAGATAATACGCATATCCTCCCACACCAATAATACTGGTTGATCGAATGTAACTGAATATGAACAGAAGAGCGGTGTACCGGATGGATCATACCATGGTAAATGAATTAAGAAGTCTTGAATATTGTTACTCTCCTTTGAAGTTCTGTTAAACAGATGATCATTAGTTTATTTGGGTTGTTATTAGTAAGGCATAAGAGTAAAGAAATTCGAAATACGTTATTAAAATTTAGAAACAGGAGCCGTAAAGTGTACGAACCCAAATCACTGGTTTATAGATTAATTTTTAATCTAACCATTGCTACCCTCTCGATATATGCTTTTGAAGGAAGGAAAATGAACTAAATGGATTTTAATATCGAATCAAATCATTACAGTTTACAGAAGTTGAAAATTGTAATGAAGCATAAGGACAACGTATGTGGATGAAAATTGTTCAACATATTCTTGATATACAACGATACACAAGTAACAATATATATCAAATTTTTACTTCGAATAAAGAATCAGACGGTGCCTCAAACGTGAATGAAAAGCGATAGTGGCTCAAAATGAGAGAAAACATATGGGATGTAGTATGCATTTTGCCGGTCCCTAATGAAACATCTTCCATATAAACACAACCATAATAAAACAGAACCTTGGAAAACGTATTAAACTGTTTAAAAAATGTACCTATCAAGTAAACAACTGACAGCAACAACAATACGAAAGCCGAGCTTCTTAGCAAGCAATCCACCGAATGGCATGGAAACACCCTGCATAGCCAAAGCAATACCAGATATCCAAACTGACGCTGTTGGAGACAAATTTGGATCAACCCGTGTTATGACGTAACTCATGATATAGGGTACAACGTTAGCTGGGAAGTTAGTAATAGTAGGTACAACATACCAGTACTATAGAAAAAGCCAAAAGAGAAATGAATTAAGATGCCTCCTAAAACTGAGATACACCCGAAAATCAAATTTTTGGCTTTTCTTTGCTTCATATCAATGAAATTATTACATTACAGACAAGTTACCATAGTTAAGTGGTATCACCGAACGTGAAGTCAGCTTCAAATTAGTCTCAATAATGATTGACTAAGGTCATACGAAACTCAAGGCAATTGGACATTTTAAAGAAATTCGAAAGAAACAATGGATGGTTGAAAAATCAGTTATCACATCTTCTGAAATAGAAATTCCGTATCATTTCTGTATAATATATTACAACTTTAGTGCGGTTTCCGAAGAAATTCAAAAGTTCTTCATTCGAATCTAACTGTAGAGTTCTCATTTATTCCAATGGTGCTGAGAGGCCATAAAAATATTTGTGCTTTGTGAAACCTGAAAAAGTTAAGTTCAGTAAACACGTATAAATCATTCAAATTTGAGGATAAAGGGGTTCAACGGCCATCAGTAATCTGTCTCAGTAAATAAAGCCTCAAAAAAATAGTTATGACATTGACCTAATTAGTTTGACCAAGCACAATCTAGTTTAGGGCCCCCGGTCATGAAATCTAATCAGATCACCGTGTGGCAAGTCATGTAACGCATCTCTTCACATTAATTATCTAAGTTACTTCACTCATTCCTCGAGATCTCATTCATCACCTTCGATCCTCTAAATTCCTGACATCTAGTCGGACTTGGCTTTGGGTATTCTCAGTCTGGAAGGTGTTACTTACAAAAGCGTAGTCTACTTCTGATTTTCCGAGACACCCTTATTGATGTATCCGAAGTGGCCTGGTATACCAAACAAACGATATCAAGCTTACACTCTTTAAAATATGCATGAAGCCCTCCCTTGAATATTGCTCACTTATTTTTTAAACATGAATATCATAGCCAAGATGCCAGTGGAAAATGTAGAAAGAAGTTTCACAGGGTGACTGTTAGGATGGAGTCATACTCTTAACTACACAGAAAGATGCAAACATCTTTCTTCAGAACCTATATGGCTCTGTCGGTTGAAATTCAACCTGATACTCCTCTATAAAACAATATATGACCTCTCGCTTGTGAGATCCTTACTATTATGAACCACGAACTGGCTTACCCATTCAGAAATGAGGCATAAGCACTACTAATGGCACAAACAGAAAGACTTGTTTTGTAATTTCCTTGTAACGCGATACAGTTTATTGTAGATCATTTTACTAATTTCTTTCCGCACCTGTGACACAACCATCAGGCTCAAGAAACTAGTAACTTAATTGTTTAGCTAGAAGGAAATTCACTAACTATTTCCCGAACTCATATCAAGTCGCAGTGCACTTTTTTATGGTCCGTTTAATATTTAAACTAACCATGGAAACTATAAAAGGCCATGAATATTTTGCTCTCCAGTTACCGTGCATACAGTTATCACGAAATGACTTACATTCCTCTAATCCTACTAACAGCAGCAGTTCACGCCTTTATGCTCCTACCCCAAAAATTCTGATTTTTCTTAAAATTTAAATTCATATCATTATTTTCCCACATTTCATAGCTTTGTTAGTTACTATATCTAGTAAACAGATAAACTGAAAAGCTAGTAGATACTGCTCAAGTACTGTCGATTACAAGAAACTCAAAATCATCGTGTTATTGTAAGTTAATCAACACCTTTTTCACGAGCTAGTGTAAACCAATTTATTTCTTTGCGCCCAACTCTTGTTCTTTCGATAGGATTCCATTTGTTTGGTAGTGGCCAATGAATGCAGGTCTAGCCACTCGACTGCATAATTCTAGTCAGTTGGAAGTTGTTTATGAGTTTCATGTCCCATGATTTGAACTAATACACTTGTTTCAGGGCAGTAGGGCTTCTTGATACCAGCAGGTATCACATTGCCAAGCCGGAGATCTGTTAGTTCATTCTTCTCCATAGATTACCAGTTTCAAAAAGGTTTATTTCCCCGGATTTATCAACATCCAAACAATACTTTCCCACCTATTTGTGGCTTTACTCATGAATGTTTAACACTGTTTTCCTTATTTTCTTTTGTCTGCTGCCAATGCGTCCTATCTCCAAACTACCTGTTAATTGAACTATATCTTACAGCTTATAAATTTAGTTAACTTAATAGCAGTGTGATATGCTACGTGGATATTTAGTCCAGCGTATAGAAGCCAAAATTGTCTGGTCCGCTTGTAAATTGGAGCTAGTAGAGCAAGTGTATTCCTACAAGGTATACAAAAAATAGAGCTTAAACTAAAAAGCAACAATTGAAACATACCGCTAAACGTAAGAGAGCCCAACATCAATAGAGAAGTTATGATAGTGTATCTGGTGTGGCGAAATTCTCAATCTCTGTTGGGCGGGAAATTTTGTTTACCTACGGCCCCTTACGATATAGCAGTATCTAACTGACCTATGATATTGATGTTACTTTTCCATGGCTACGTCGTTTACGACTCATGTTTGTAACCTTGAACTTGCTTCACTTCTTACCAAGAAACCCTATTACAAGCAGATTTGGACAGTTGTGTTGAAAAAAGGCTCACTAGTGACTGCTTAAGCTAAAGGGTAAAGAAACTGAGTGAAATATCACCAAAGCATCAGATCACTGTGCCTTCATTATTATATTCTGTAAATCTACGAAATTTTGACAGTTTGGTTCTTTTTAATCTCCTCCATTCATAAGGTTATTTTTCAAGTCGTTATCTTACTAGTAAGTTGTCTGCATTAACCTAAAAAATTACAGGTGCACAGTAATGATACCTTTGTTTTATCTAAGAATATTATCTGCTGAGTCATGACTTGGCTTTAAGCCAGAATTTTTTCTTTTATGTTAGTCGTCCCTCTCCCTTTATTTCTCTTTTTCAGCACCTGGTCCTACTCCTTAAATATTATCCTGGATAATTGCCGAAGACTTAGTTACTTCATATCAGTGTCTGCAAACTATTACTACAGACCGCAGACATAAACTGGAATCTGAACTTTTTTATCATTACACTTTTAGTAATCATACGATCGAAAATGATCGCTAACTGTTCATCAGCACGATGCAACGAATATATGAAGATTCATTTTCAAATTTCACTCATATAATCCATCCATTACAGTCGTTTTTACCAAAAACCTGTTAAACCGTAATGTGGACAATGTCATCCAGAAAGTCATTGTGGATCTCATCGGTTCTTGTTATATACAGGCCTAGACTTGACTTTTAGTAATTCTTGACCACCAGTAGTTTATTGCAACACAGCCGACATAATCCGCGCCAACCATTGTGTCGTTCATTTTAGCCTCGAACACAGTTTACAATCTTATGTGGGAAACAGCGGTCCCTAATGTACATGGTCAGCATATCTCGTAAAATATCAGTCTAATTAGGCAACGTGTTTCAGTAAATGCCATAGCCTTTGCAACAGTTTGTGAGTGGATTACAGCTTCCTTATGATTTCATTGATAGATTTGGTGATTTTCGATTAGATAATCCCCAAATCTAGGCGTCCGTTAACCGTTCCAATAGTTTGAGGGAAAGTGTTGCTGAAATCGATATTACTGAAGTGTATTTAAGACTGGACTGTTAGACAGCTGTTAGCAGAAAGTACTCAAGTTGATAGTTTTGAAAGGGTGGTCGTCTACAACACGAGAAGCCGTAATTGATGTCCTTGGATGTGGCTAGGCTTTTGAACCAGGTTATAGTGAGTGGTGAGAGTTCATCAGGGTGACGTTGGATTCTGAAAGGAGAGACAGTGACAACCCAAAAAATATGAGTAATTACCTTAGATTCCAAGGTAAACTTTTATGACAATAATTCATGTTTTCTTTTGACTCAGTGATGAAAACATGGAATTCTATCCAAATTATTTTTGAATTATCGATCATACGTTACCTTTGGGATACAGGAAGCTCATCGAATTCTGTACCAATTAATTATATCAACTTCTCTATTCGGACTGTACTGACCAATTTTTACTAGGAGTTTAGACGCATTCAAAGCTGAGGTTGATAAATAAAGAAAGAATAAGAAGAAGAGAACTTAATACGTGCCTTTGAGAAAACGTGCTCTTTAAAGACAAGGAACCTGTGCTATCATAAATGATGGAAAGAGCTTTCAATGGGGAAAGCAAGGCGATACAAACCAAAGTTGTCATTATTGACTTCCATTGCTCACCGCAACGAACTATTCAGTAACCATATGAGTATCAGGAGGCAAGTCAATTAATAGATAGGATCTATATGTCACATACGATGCAGTGTACTACACAATAAACTGAACTTTTGTCAACGCGTAGCGAATAAAGTTTTGATGAAGAGATAGGATAACAGAGCTAAGCACACTAGGACCGAAATGAACAACGTGAAAAGATATCTCGTTCAGTAAGTCCTGCGTTGCAAAACAGGCCGCCGTTGATGATAACAGCATACATCTAGTAGTTTCTGTAGAGTAAAAAGATGAATATTTATGAATACTCTTGTAGTTCTTGTTCCGGTTATCTGCTCGAAAAAGCTTTATATCTGCGGGAGGGGGGTCGGATTTACTAGATAAGACGACGTTGGAGACATACCTTGGCTACGCAATCAGATTGCTAATTTGTGATGATGTTTGTTTGACGAAAAGTCCTGATAATATATGATTTCAGAATTAAGGTGAACAGTATATTGCGATTTCATCTCTTTTCACAGCATGTGTCCGTTTATATCTAAATAAATAAGAGAAACCAACTCAAGATATAGGTCTGTACTCGATAGCTCAGAATGTCATTAATTCGTATTTTCTTCCTACAGTCGTTAGCACGATAGATAAAGCTGCAACAACAGTGTAGTTAGTATCGACCGAGTCAAACCAGCTTTTATAAAAGGTAAAGACCATGAAACAAGGGCAAATCCTTCAAGAAACATCGAATCCACCATCAGCCATAGCAACGGATTAAATCGAAAGCAGTCCACTAACAAATAGATATCATCGAAGAGTCAGATGGCGGCAAAGGTGAACAGTCAGGATTTTGAGTTATTATTTTCTTTCTCTGCCTCTTATATAAAAAGTATTTCCTCAACGTTTCGAACATGTGCATCAAAAAATTAACTAATATATAAATTGATTCGACATATTTATCGTGTATTAACATCCTCTTCAAGAAGATTTGGGATGAGGAACAAGTACTATCAGATTGAGAAGAAGGATACCTGATCAAAATACCAAAGAAAGGCGATCTCAGCAAGTGTGAGAACTACAGAAGCACTCTTCTTTCAATACCAGGCAATGTCTTCAACAGAGTATTGTCAAACAGAATCAAAGACTTCGCAGACGCCCAACTTCGAGATAAACAGGCTGAATTTCGTAAGGATCGATCGTGTACTGACCGAATGGCAACATCACGGATCATTGGGGAACAATCAATTGAATGGAACTCACCACTGTACATCAGCATCTATCATACGGTTTTACCTTTTATTCACGTGTTTTATCCTTTTCGTTTTCCGATCGTTTTACTGTAGTTCAACAGGTCAAACAAACTCATCTCTCACAACCACTCCTCGGTTATTCTTATTTTGGCTATTTTCGCTGTAGTTTTTGGCTTCGTAATTCTTATTTTCTAACTTACGCCTGTCTGATATGTTGAAGCTTGAAACAATACAAAGGAACTTTACTCGGAAAGTCCTAAATCATAGCTCACTCATTAACTATCCAAATCGACGTAATGCACCCGGGCTTGATCCATTATGGAAAAGAAGGCTTAGGTTCAATCTGATCCTTTACTTTAAACTCCTGCACAAGCTCACATATTCCTCCTGCAGTTTAGGACATATCCATGGCCCATGTACACATAACCTTCGAGATAAAGTATCTACGGTCAAACTTGAGAAGTATAGATCCAAAACTCGAGAAAACTTCTTCCTCACTAAGTATGCACTTATATGGAATAGGCTTCCCTCGAAAACACGCATGGTAAGTGGGTTACATGAGTTTGTTCTGCACGCGTGAACTCACTCGGACCCTGTTTCCATATTGTTAGCTCTGCATACACTTTAAACACGATGAACTCAGTGCTGCGTCTTATTTAGTTATTTTTACCCTCCCAAGTAGCATTAAATTTTCCTAGTTCAATATAAATCCATTTAGTTTTTATCTAAAATAGTCAGGTTACTCTACTCACTGGGTCGATCGACACTGTTCAACTGTAAACTGGTTGATTAGAACGCACTCTACTCTCCTGGGCGCAACCTTATCAACACTGACAACTGTATGAGTTTCATATTGCCTATTATCAATTATACTGTTCTCACTTACGCGCTATTGACTTACCTTGATCCCTTAGTGTTATCTATTGCTCAACTTTTAACCGTGATACTCTTCATATCTCCTGCTTAGCTAGTTAAGTACACCTCCCCCACTACATTCTAAATGCTTATATCTTGTTTGAAAATCCTTGATATTTCTCCATAACTGTTAACTGTATAGCATTGATGCCTAACCAACAGTATATAAAATGTAACAGCGAGACAAGTTTGTGAAAGGAACTTGCAGAAATAGTGTTTCTCAACAGGTTGTGAGATATAGAGCACCAAGTAGAACTCAATAGTTTCTTTTAAACATTTAACATGAGCCTAACAACACAAAAGGAGGGAGGGTGGAGTTACTGACCAGCAAACATTGATGGTGTGGGCGATGACTTCAAGCCACCCATGTTTGTGGGGCAGAACATTTTGTTTGCTTTCGGCTCTTTAGACTGATGAGACGACTTATCAGTAACACTGAGGTTGCTCTTATATGCCTGCTACTTCTGAGGTTCACGTTTTCAAAACTATGCTGAGGTTACTATTCTGTCGAGACACCCGCAACATTCTTACAGCATGATCTACAGGTTGTCATTTAATAAAAAACCGCTAGACAGTGAAAATTTTTAATTATCAATGTTTTTTACAAACTTTACTCTGTTTACTGAAATTTCGGTTTCAACGTACAGACCTCCAGCTTCTTACTTCAACTTCTATTCTATCCACTTTACACTCTCCACAACTCTTCCTTTTGCATTACCGTACTCCTTCATTTGGGGGCTATATTCCAATAATTTGCTTTCCAATAATTTAAGTGGTCAGTATGAATTTTATCTTGACTTACTACTGTATCGACTACTTCACTATGAATGTTTAAACGGTGCTTTGGTTATATATATACAACTGCCCCGCTGCCTTTTTTCTCTCTCTCCTTAATCCCTTTTCAAAACCCCTTTCATAGTGGAAAATCCATGGCGCCTCTGCGAAGCATGCAACGAATGTACACTCGCGTCCAGATCATAGCTCGTATCAAGCGCATTCCAAATGACCTTGCCCAATAAATTAACTACTGATCTCAGCAAACCGCCCAAAAAACCCACTGTACACCTTTCCTATTTGTACTCTCCTATTGAAAATATTGCTGTATCAAACTGTTCCTGTCAGTGACATAGTTTAAGTTTGCTATTAGAAACTGACTCTTACAGTAAGTTTAAGTGCGATAACTTTTGCAGTAAATGCGTGAGCATTTGTGACAATTCGACATAGCCTGTAAACTGGCATGCCTCTTGTAACATACTGGTATTTGAGAACAAATGCTATTAATATTATTATCTGGCGCCTCACATAATAAACCTAACTGCTTTATTGTCTGCAAACAATTTAGGCTATTGCTATTTAAGTCATACTTATATGATTTATAATGGACACAGTGGTCGCCTAGTAAAAATTTTACTCGGGTGAATCCGTTTAGTTTGTTTTCGACACCATCAACTATTAACCGCTTATCTTCAAAGCTACTGATTGTTTTATGAGAAGCTCATCTCTATTTCATACGTGATAATCGGAGCTTTAGCAAGTGCATTTTTGATTATATTTTTAGTACGCGGGACAACTACATTATGTTCACCACCATCATCATTATGTTCAGACGATTCATGCTCGAAAACTATACTTTTCTAAGTCATGTCACTACAGCTTCGGACTTAAGGTCCTTCGATTTATAACGTGTCACGTTTTTATAAAATTGCTTGTAAATGTATTAGTCCAGTAATAAGACGGAAAATCAGAGAAATTTAGACAGTGGCAGATAATAGGTACGAAGCTATCAGCAAGATATATATATGTCCGATAATCTAATTATGAGATCTTATATTTTACAAAGCAGTTACGATTACTGTGCAAAACAGACGAAAAATTGCGAAATAATTTTAACGCGTGCAAGATTAGCGAAAATTTTGGACAGGACATGATTATGTATATTTACGTATGAGAATGAGGACTTATAGTCGATGCTCTTATGAGCTTTTCCAGAGTTCGATTCATTCGAGCTCAACAGAAAAGGCTTGTCGTAAAGTAAAATTGTAGCGAGTTTTAAGAAAAGTATTGATCCCAACTAGGGCAAATCATGACTTTCAGTAGCGACCCTAGTCTACAAATTGGCAGTGTTGCTCGATGTAGATAATTCCTGCACTTTATAATCAGTGTGTTAATTGGTAAGGAACAACCAGCCGTTCTATGAACGCTAGTGGAGAAAAATTGCTGGTGTGTTTCATTTAAGGTATTATTGTATGTATGTAATACATCATTCACGGGTGTAGGCTACCTGTTATACAGTTCCCCTCCACGATCGAGTAAGGTGTTAGCTATTTATTTACATAGGTTTATGCCACTTGTCTTTCATTTCGTTTCCAGTATATTAACATCACCAACAATTAATCTGAAACAGACGACTGAATTTGACGTATGTGAAAGGAATTTTGACAATATGCTACTTAATTTTTCAGCCGATTACCCTGCCTATCAGTGACACTAGTACCTTATGTTGATTGCTGCCTGGAATGAACCGAATTGCACAATATCCTAATCTTATCACAATTTCAGGACAGTGATTGCAGGTAATACATCCTCCAGCGATTTTAGATAGAGATAAAAAGTGACATACAGCATACCAAGCACTCCCATTCATACAGATATATTGATTGATTCACATCAATTTTTCACGAAGCTGTAGGATATTAGATATTGAATAATGCAAGTTCTTTGTTTCTTCTTGCTGCTCCACATTGTCCATTATTTGAAATATAGAATTAGCAGTTAGCTGTTTTCGGTGGACGTTATGGTCTGTCAAATTATTTAATTAATTGAAAATTCTTTCAGGCTAGTGATAAAAAACTATTATTTCAGGGATGTTTGTCTGTATTTGGTGGAGTTTTGTTGCACATTACCTTCGGATATTTCTATACTGTATGTAAGTTCCTAAAAAATTAATTTCACGTCACTGAAGCGAACATGATCCCCTATATTATGGACTACTTAAGAACACATGTCAACCCGAACCTTTCGGACAAAGACGCAATATGGCTGTCTGCTCTAGGATTCTGTACCCAAGGCTTTTCAATGCCTGCCGGTGGATTAATTGCAAAAAAAGTGGGATTCAGAATTGTTGTTGCGATAAGCTGCATATTTTTGAGGTATTATTACATTGAAATTAAACGGTTTAACGATATATGTGCCTGATTGAAAAGTGTCATTTGGACAGTACATCGTTTATGCATTTTATTCCTCATGAGATCGTTTATTATGTTCACGTACATCAGTTGCTTGAATTTTTACATCTTTTTATCGAATTTTAATTGGTATTTTGGTTTTTGTGCATGCATTATGAGTCGCCTTCATTCTTCTATTAAGTCTTAAGCACTACTATCACATTTAGATGGTGAATAACAGTAGACTACAGGAAGCGTATGTCATCCTATTTAGGGCTGACAGACTAGATATACCTACATTCTAGAGGTTATATTTACCCGTCCTTGATTTTGCAACTAGTTATCATTCAACCAAGCCTCCGTTACTCACTTATTTTATCATTAAATTTACTTCATATATACATATTCTGTAGTGATGGCTTCTAAATAACTTTTTTAACTCATAAATTGGGTCGATAATAAGTAGTGTCCGTAAGGTTTTCATTCATGTTGAAGAGGTAGATATATGCTTAAAAATCAATTTTTCATTCATGAGCCTAGAGATATTTTACTTTCGCGTTTAATTATCGTGTTTTTCAGTGGGAGCGTATTTGCGACATATTTTACAATCCAGAAAACATTTGTTGGAGTAGTAATAACGTATTCATTAACAATGGGCATAGGAATGGGTTTTGCTTATTCCGTAGTATTTGCGGTTGCAACAACAGTGAGTTTTTTCTTATTACATGATCTAAGTTTAACTAAACCATTTAGGATTTTCTTTTAATATAGAGGCAATGATTAAAAGGCCTATTATGACACAACTTCAGTTAACTGTGTATATAAAGCTAAAGAATATCATAAATATGAATGTTGCTTATTGTAAAAGAGTTCTATTTTAGGATTGTAGGTGTGATAAAAGTTACTGTAGAAGTTTGAGCACAGAAAGGATTGTTTACGAGGGAGCGGAACAAACTGACTGAAAACTTAGTTATCGATTTCGATCTCTTGGTTACAAAAGTCTCGCAATATAGTAAGTTTCAGTGTTTGCTTATGGGTAACGTACTGAACAACAAGGATATTTTACTGAAATCAGGAAGCTACTACGGTTGTATCATCAATGAAAGCGTGGAAGCACTTAGCAAAAATTTAATTCTACCTTTGGATTCCTCATTATCGCGTATTTACGACCCCAAACACAGAGTTCTAACGCTGAACCCCTGCCTCACGACAAAATACTTAAATATCTGACTTTAATCAATCCACGATGTTGTGTGACCATATTTCAATGTCTTCTATGGAATTGCCTAACCCTCGACATGGTTGAATACAGATAAATGTTATTTGTTAATACATGAGTATGTATGGTAAGTTCTTGATTCTCACGTAGGCTGGACAGATAAAAAGCATTTAAATCTCAATCTCGATTGGAAAAGTTTTGATTTTTGTGTTGGTACCAAAAGTTCGTATTATTTAGCAGCTAATATTTCTTATTAAGGGTTTTTCATCGTTTCAAGCTTCAAACAGAACCATTAAAATTGATGAATGGATTTTTGATTTCTGTCACGAGAATACTGTCGAGAAATTGACATATAATGTTCCTTAAGAAGACTTAAGAAAACCAAAAGATATATGAGTTTTAATAAATGAATTCAGTTACTAGTTTTTATTCCTGTGATTCTTCTTTAACTTTGGAATAATCTGTTACGAGAATATAAACTTGCTGCCAGCAACAAGTTAAATGGTTTTGTGAAAAAATCCACATGACCTTACTTTATATAATAGGTGACAAGTAACTATCTTTTTTTAATATGATACATATGGTGTAAAAAGAAAAAATCCAAAAATAGATTAAAACTGCCACCTGAATTGCTGCAGATCAACAAATGATCGCAGTATAGTGGATTAACACTACAAAGATGATTTGATTTCTGCAGCATATTGGCAGTACTTGCATTTCTGATGGAAAAGTATGTTAGTGCTTTTAATTTCCACACTAAATGTTAATTTAAATGTCAAGCTTTCTTGGCTGGAGACCGAGAATCTCATTCTGTCAATGTATGCTGTTACTTTCGAAAATTCATTCAGGACACAGGTTTGGTCATTCATTTGATCTAGTAAAGTCAGCACAAAGGACCTGTTCCACTGACTCAATACACTTATAAAAAAGATCACAAAGTCTGATGACTTCGCTGGGACAGGTAAGGCAATCAAGTTCAAAGGCCTTACAGGCTTTACAAAACACAATACCTATAGACAGTCTCTTGTGCTCTATCCTGAAATACAGGTCAGTAAGAGCTAAGCAACGAATTAAAACGAACTATTGCGTCCTTTTTATCTCTCCTCGTACTCGAGTTTATTGTATTTTGGGTGATAAAATTTATAAGTTCTATAAAAACTATGTCACCTCCTTCAAGAAACTAAACTTTCAACAGTAATGATAACAGGTAATTTGTACTCTGAAGTTAGTGGTCTACATCAAAGCGATACTCAAATGAGTCCTAGAGTGTCACAGTGGGTAAAAAGACGTTCATAGATGAAAGTCCATTGAAAGTAATATTAGCCAGTTTAAGGTTATCACTTCCAAGTCGGCCCAGACAGTGTGCTGAAAAATAGATAAGAGATTAGAAATTTCAGCAGAAAAAAATTTAAAATATGTTACTTAACACTGTCCTCTTATTAAGTCCCTCGTCAGTAACTAATAAAAAAACACATATGTATACCAAATTCATATTGTTAACGTGAATTACCAACGGAGTAATTGCTGTTATTCAGACAGTATTACTTCTACTACTTATAACATGGTAAAAAACAGAGACTGACACATTACTAGTTGTTCGTAGTCATCGATATGGTGGAAAAAAATTTGTAGCTCAGCTGGATGATTGTGATGGTGTTTCGTTCTCTGAGCTGAACGTTTCGATTGTGAAACTTTTATTGTTCTTCTGAACAACATCATCAGCACAAACTTCAGATAGAAGTGAAGTATTTGAATTTTTCCACGTTTGACCTGTAGCTTGTTCTGCTAACCTCGATCAGCAGCACTCGATAAAGATGGACGTCAGCAGAACAAGCTCCAGGTCAAACGTGGAGAAATTCATGTAATCCAGTCCCATCTGAATTTTGTGCCTATGGTGCTGTTAAGAAGAACAACGAAAGCTCCATAACCAAAACATCCAGTTTGTAGTCATTTTATATATTTTTATTTATTTACCTTCAAGTCTCATATGCAACCAAAAAACTCATCACACATAAAAAGAATATTATTCGATAATCTAGGGTATAGTAAAGACTGAAGATTACTGTTAGCGTATGTCAAGACTATCAAAAAGAGAAGTACTGATGTTGAACACAGGAAACTAGGCAAAGATATAATGAGAACAGTAAATCTACATCACGCGAGGTAAATGGGACATGCATTAAATATCTTCGAGTCATAGTATCAGTCCATAAAACCATCGATAGTTGAACTGTGCTATGAAGACAGGTGGAGACTACATGCTCGGGATATGCATGAAAACAGTGATAATTTAAAAATGTCGAGTTACGTTCCTCGAAATGGCAGTCAATGGCATAGGTGCATTCACTCTGTACATTCCTTTAGTTTCTGAGTTTCACAGAAACCTATAAAAATTAATTTATCTCATGTATTCGCAAGTATTCTCGAGTCATATAATCAATGTTGATCTTAACGACTAGTTCTATCATTAAAAATGTCAGTTGGAATGCTTCAAATAACGTCAGTGTATTCTTTGGATTGATTTTAAAAGGTCACTATTTTTACTTTTGGAGTTACGCTAAAGCCTCACCTACAATAACAGATAACCGGCCATTAAATCAAGCTGTTTTTATTGACAATACAATGATTACAGTGTTATTTAAAGATTAAAAGTGACTTCAACTTGGATAATTTGGATTTCAGTGGTTTCCGGAAAAACGTGGACTGATTGTTGGAATCATTGTAAGTGGGTTTGGCCTAGGAGCATTGGTGTTTTCGCCTATTCAAACTGCACTGATCAACCCAGCAAACGTTAAAGTGGAAAATGTCACTCGGTAAGTATATTACTGTTATATCAGAGTTTCATCGCTGGTTTTACAATACGATGGTAATGCCGAATCTTCTTAAATCTAACCATTCTTCTTCTACGTCTCAAAATTTCATCAAGTTACTAAAATGGCCATTTTATTCTACGATAACAAAACGTAATATACGAATAAATACACCGTCGTTTAAGTTTTGTTATGAATTAGATGAAGAATTCTACGATTTGGCTCTATATTCCAATTAGTGTTCAAATAATGATAGATCGGAGACCAAATAGAATTGAAATTTAAGAGGCTATACAGCTCACTAAAATGTTCCGACAATCAATAAAGCGATATATTGTTCACGATTACAACAAGATTATTAGGTTTCGAAACCAAACTTTAATCTATCAAATCGTATGTGCGAAGTATCTCAGTTTTCAGATAATGACTGAATTTTAATTTATTCGTTTCTGTGACTAATTAAGATACTTATCGAGAAATTCACTGGTGCTGTTAGGTTATATTAACATAATTTCTCAACAGATGGTATATCATGGTAAGTAGATTTATCATTATATCATTTGAATTTATATTCCTCTTTAAAAGCTTTCTTAGTAACTGATAATCTAAAGATTTATTTTAAACATCAGAACTGTTTTCGAGTTACAATCCATACTTCATTTTCTGTTATTGAGAACTTATAATATAAGTATCACTTGATTTTAAATAGAATCTGGGTCAAACATAAATCCTTTAAATAGCGTTGTGAATATTGATTTATCTGTCTTTGTTACTCGTATATAAAAAGAACTTTGACATACGGTATATACTATTTTATTTCATTGATAAGTAATAAAATTGTTTGCTTCTCATCATATCTCAGCATCTTAAAAATGTAATACAAAAACTGGATACTACCTGTTACTGCTTCTATTGCAACAGCTCAGACAACTTTGCTGAAATACAATGAGTAGTTGAAACTGTTAAACAGTTCGAATATCTTAGGTACAAAATCCTACACCTACACAGAACGTTCCAAACTTTCCTACAAATTCTAAAAAATATGAAATCGACATAATGAAACCATTAATAGTCACATTTGTAATGAAACAGTCTGAAACACTTGTTGTTATTAAAATTAATGAATAAAAGAGAAGCTTATCCGAAGCCTCGATAACCTGAAGATTTAAACATTCTGGAATGTAACACATCAATATTCTTACTAATTTTATTCAAGAAACCAAAATAGTAAATAAGTGATCACTAAGTCTTATAAGTCTTATTTTGAATTGAGACAGAATAAAAGACTGATTATTCCAACTGTGTAATCTTTGTCTACCAGCATGGTAAAGCTGCTCACTTAAAGTGACATAAGCTGAAGAGCATTCAAGGACATTATCGGTGCCAGTAACTAAATTTAATAAAATATGCTATTTATTTCGACGTTAAAAGTTCCAGAATATATAAAGTGCTTAAAAATTTAATGGCCAGAGATTTGTAAATGGGACGGGACTGGCAGAATTGTTCCGGCGTAATTTGTCATTTGTTCGCAAACACAGAATTTTGTGAGAGTGCGTATGACCTTACAAGTTTATTTAGCCAAAAAAAGTTTGGAAAATAATTAAACCAATATTTAAAGTCAATGACTACATTCCTTGTACTGAATAACTTTTAAACTATTATTTTAGATTATTAAGAAGTCAGAGATGATATTTATACTTATGTGTAAATAAATATTCACAGAACCCTGTTACTATTTTGTTATTGATAACTGATTGATGATTAAGTTAACCAATAAAAACATTTTTTTAGGTATGATCAACTTTGAATGGGTATGACTTGATTGAGGGTTTAATCGTCTCGATTTCCAATTTTTTATTTCCACTAAATATCAGTGGAGATGTTTATAATTTATGATAGATTCCTGATTACATTTGTACCGTCAAGTAAATTAGATGTCAATAAGAGTATATACGTGATAATTGTGTCAGGGAAATTTGGTCATAGTGAAGAAAGATTGTACAAATGGAGAAACGCTTTTGAAACGATCACGTTTGATACTTTATAGAAAAGCAATGTTTAGCAAACCTTCATGACACATACCAGTGCGTCCTAAGATAAGCTAAATGTGGAACCATCAAACGTAGATATTTATGGTGTTTGATCATTTTTGCATAAACGACTTTTGTAACTGCCTTCATTAAAACTTCAGAACGAAAAAGATGTAATAAGGATTTGCTCATTTTCAAGGATCGCACAAGTTGTATCCAAACGTATGTCTCCAGTAATTATCTACAAGTTCGCCACTTACTAAAATAGGCCCAAGATGCCACTTATTTAGAAGTAACAAACTACATGAACCTGATAGAACACCTTTTAGGTGGTAGAAATATAGACAGAAAGATTATGTAATGCTAATAAATGAAACAGTTTTGTTTCTTTACATTGGAAAACTGAAATGTTTTAGTCCGAAATAAAGGAATACCAGCATGCAAAATCTAACTAGTAAAAAGAAACTTCATACATATTTAGTGAATTGACTTGATGAAGCACTAAGTTTTACAAAACTTTGTTAAGCATAGCTATTTAATAGTCTTTACTTTAATTGCTATTTTATTTTCCGAAAGTGAGGAGTTATTATTTTAGCCTCATTGATTCGTGTTTTGAAACACTAATCTGTTAAAAACGAATCGAAGTACCAAAATTAGTAATTAATATTAGACGAAAAGAGTTGTGAAATCTTGTCTAAGAAGAAGATTTCATTCATAATCTAACTTGCAAGATCCTCACAAATGACTATTAGGAATTATTCACTTAGTCCTTTCTTATAAGAAAAGTATTTGAATCGATACCTGACGAAACCGTAAGAAAGCATAATAGGTGATTATTCAATGCTAAACGTATTCCATGGTGCTGTAGTACAAATGGAAGACGACATTCAAGAGTGAATTGTTTTTATCCGAAGATGTAGAGATAGAAGTGTAATGGATACAGAAAAATCCTTATAAATTCAAGATCACTAAAAATTAATATCGCCTATCTTCTTTCCGATTATCAGGAAATACAGTGAAGCTCAGTAAGTCCGATAAAACCTCTAATGCCATAACTTCAAGTTACTGAACTGACCATGATGTTACCAAAACGATTTGTAACGGCTTTAAGAATTAAAAACAATGAAATATAATTGAATTGTTTTGCAAAATGTATTCAAAGCAGCCTTCAGAAGAATCACCGAATAATATTCATTCTGAAAGAAAGTAGAACACTCACACCAACATTTAGTACCTACGTAGTATGCTTAAGCTATAACGCATGAACGTCAATCAAGACGATTATATAATGCCGAAGTATCCATACAGAATAAGCCATACTGAACCAGTCACATATTAGTTTTAATACTATAACTTCCCGTTTACTATATATATATATATATATATATATATATATATATATATATATATCACTGAACCTACAATCAAGTATGAAGAGGTTGGCAAAATCAAATTTGGTACAATTGAGAAATATATGCTTGAACTGAAATGTAGAAAAATATACTCTCTCTCTCTCTCTCTCTCTCTCTCTATATATATATATATATATATATATATATATATAGTCAGTACAAGCCAATCCTCTTGTGAAATAAATTTTTCTCACAAAATGTCATTTTTATTATTAACGACTCATTCAACTATCAAGTCTCAAACCTTGATAATGATACCGATAAACCAGCATAGAGATAGAAAACAACGATGTCATTTATCACTTCTCTTGCAAAATGTTACATTTGTGTTGCTAAACCAGAAAAATATGACAAATTTATAGAGTTGATTGGACTGGTTGCTTATTGATTGAACTTTCAAGTAAAGTTATGCTAACATTCGATAGATCCAACATATAGTAATTTATTGAAATTTAAGTAGAAATAAAGAAGACCTAATTTTCTTTTAGGTCACCAGGAAAATATGTACATGCGAAACAGAAAGTCAAGTTTTGTTTTCACAACGAATTCACGAAATAAGCGAACCATTTGATTACGTTTTAAACCATAATTAGGCCAAAATTATTTTGGGCTGAAGTAAAGAATAAATCACAGTTCGTTTGCGATAAGTCACATTTTCCGATTATCCCTCAAATCAATAAACCTATGAGAAATCTAAGTTCATTCAGACTTAAACGTTAAACCTTAATCACAACCTGTTTCACGAAATAGTAATTTTTTTCATAACATAACCTCAGCTAATCCACTTGAGCGTAAAAATTGAACACAGACTTTCAACTAATACTATTGCACGACATATATTTCGATTTGTGATCGATCTTGAATGATTACTATTAGAATGCAAATGTGATAAGATCAGTTTATTTCATAATTTATAGATTATAGATCAATGTCAACAGCATAACTTGAACTAAAAATATTTTTGTTATGGTACCGATTCCACAACTAATAGAATGGAAATCGGTTTTTCTGAAAAAAGAATCGTTGACTGAACTACAACTGACATATAAAATTTAAGGTTTTGAGTGTTCTTGCTCGACCCTTGATGAACAAATAATCACTATACAAATTATATTTTCAAATGAAAGAATGTAGTTAAACTGCAAGACATCGAAGTGTTGCGTTTTGTATTGTTTAGAATATTACTCAATATATAAATGTGTCACGCATCCATATATCTTTATTACATAAGAGAATAAAGAGAGTTACTGTCATTTTAATAACTTGCTCCCATCAAAAATGAAGTATTGATTGAATGTTTTATTTGCATTTTTTATAAAATAGCAAACTAAGAACTTCATTTATTTACAAAATCTGTAACAAGTCAAACTTAGAAAGCAATTTTATGATGAAGATGAAATGTTGTTTCACAGAAATTTGTATATTGAACCATATACGTCAACTACGTATCTAAATACAAATAATTCATATGTCTTTTCGAAGTTTTTTGAGGTGCATATGAACAGAAAATGGGGGGGGGCATATAGGTAGCATGATGTATTAAGTTTAATAGGGTAAAAAAACGTGTATTTATATTCGAGTAAATTTCGACAGAGAATGAAATGAATATCAACAAAAGCACTCATCTTCTGTAATCCATTGATCACTATCTATATATTGTCAGAACTGTTAAATTGATTTTATTTTCAGTGGGTATAATATCAGTCTCACTTACTTACTTACGCCCGTTACCCCCAGTAGAACATAGGCAGCCGACCAGTGTTCTCCAACCTACTCTATCCTCAGCTTACCTTTCCACTTCTGCCCAATTTTTGACCACTCTTCTCATACCTGTCCAAAATGTTTACCTTGGCCTTCCTATTTTCCTGAAACCTTGAGGGTCCCAAGTGAGGGCGTGGTTTGTGATACAGCTGAGTGCTTTCCGAAATGTGTGTCTTATCCACTTCCAGCGCTTCTTCCTGATTTCCTCCTCCACTGCAAGCTGGGTTGTTCCCTCTCACAGTAGGTTGTTGCTGATGGTGTCTGGCCAACGGTTCTGAAGTAGTTTTCTTAGATAACTGTTAATGAATACTTGTATTTTCTGGATGATGGCTTTGATAGTTTTCCAATATTTCGCCCCATACAGTAGAACCATCTTGACATTTGTATTGGAAACTCTAACCTTGGTGTTGGTTGATGTTTGTTTTGCGTTCCAGATGTTATTCAGTTGTAGAAATGCAGCCCTTGATTTCCCGATCCGCGCCCCCACATCTGCATCAGATCCACCTTGGTCGTCAATGATGCTGTCCAGTTATATAAAGATATTAACGTGCTCCAAGGCCTGTTTATCAAGGAAGATTTGAATGGCGCATGTTGTGTTGCATCGGAGAACCTTGCTTTTCCCTTTGTAGATGTTGAGAACTAATTCTGCTGAGGCTGCTGCTACAACTGTCGTATTCTATTGCATTTGTTGTTGCGTGTGCGACAGAAGAGCCAGATCATCTGCAAAGTCCAGATCGTCCAACTGCATTTTAGCTTTCCAATGTATACCGTGCTTCCCTCAATATGTTGACGTCTTCATAATCCAGTCGATCACCAGTAGAAGGAGAAAGGGTGAGAGTAAGCAACCTTGAACGACACCGGTTTTCACCTCAAACTAGTCTGTGAGCTGTCCTCCATGTACGATTTTGTAATTTAATCTATCATAAGAACTCCGTATGATGTTGACTATATTCTCAGGCGCGCCGTAGTATCAAAGAAGCCTCCATAATGTTGTCCTGTTCGAGCTATCAGATGCTTGCTCGTAGTCAATGAAGTTGATGTAGAGTGGTGAATTAAATTTGTTTGGTCGTTCCACAATAATTTCTAGTGTCACAGTTTGGTCAGAACATGATCGATCCTTACAAAATCCAGCCTGTTGATCTCGATGTTAGACGTCTACAAAGTCGTTTATTCTGTTTAACAACACCCTGTCAAAGAATGTGCCTGGTAGTGAGAGAAGATCGATACCTCTGAAGTGATGACACTTGCTGATATCGCCTTTCTTTGGTATTTTGATGAAGTATCCTTCTTTCCAGTCTATTGATAGTTGTTCTTTATCTCAAATCTTGTTGATGAGAATGTGGAGTACATGTACAGTTGCTGCCACGTCCGTTTTCACTGCCTCAGCTGGAATGTTGTCTGGTGACACTGCTTTTACGCTCCTCATTTGTCTGATGACCATGCTGGTCTCTTCAATTGCTTCTTCAATTGCTGATATCGATTGGGAGGTGAGTGGACGCTGCTACGATGTAGGGTTTGTGCAGTGGAGCTGGTCAATCCAAGAGTTCCTTGAAGTGCTCTACCCACCTGTTTCGCTGTTTTTCAGTGTCGCTGATTACTTTACCTTACTTGTTTTATCATAGGTAATAATTATTTATAATTATATTACTAAGGCTTACGATTGAGTGAACTGTCGACTCTATTCACATGTTGATAGTTGATTATGGAACGTATTTATACACGAATTAATTTCTACTTGGATTTACATCTTTCCCGACTTCATTTTGATGAATATTTATCTTAGTGAATACATCTTACTAGTAGTTATAACATCAGTGTCCTAAAAAAACATTTAACTTTGGAATAAACCAAATAGTTTTATAAAACCAAAGATTAGAGCTTTTGATTACCCTTTGAAGGTGCAGTTAAATTTTCAAAGTCATTTTAATTTGAATATTTGTTTTTCAATTTTAGCCACTTTACCGACATGGAAGTCCTTGATCGGGTGCCAAGAACCCTTTTAATTTTGGGGGGAATATTATCAGGTATTCAAGTGATCGGTTTTATTCTTCTACGTCCAAGACCCTCTTCAAAACAAGTGAGCAGCTTTTTAAAAGTAGTAACACGAATTTGTGGTTAGCATTTGAAAATAAGTTCGGAATAGATTTTGTCAAAAAATAAATATAACTGTGCTAAAAGTTCAATTGCCTTAAACTTAGTATTTATTTTCCATAAAATATTGACTGAGATAAATAAGTTCATTAGTGTTACTCCTTTTCAGAGTCTTGTAAAAAATTATTCAAAGTAGCTTGAATGACCTAGAAATATCATTAAAAAATCTTGACAAAAAATTCGAGATTCCTTGATTTTTTATATTTTTGCAACTATTCGGCTGTAACGAATCTATTTAAATCATCCTTGAGGTCATCATGATTTATAATTCAAGTATTTTTAGATACATTTTTGGTTGAATTAATATACATAAATCGACTTCGAACTGCTAGTAAAGGTGGTTGATTGTAAATCTAAGTAGTATCACCATTTAGTCAAAATAAATAAACATCATGAAATAATTAAGTGTTCATAACTAATATTTTCCATTTTCTAGCAAGATACGACGATATTCTTTTTTATTGACTTTTTGCTATTTAATACTAATAGCTTTAACAAAAGCAGAGTAGCCCAAAATTTATAAAAACTTATACTTTATCAGATAACTCAATAAAAGTTCTTATATACTACACAGTATTGCATTCGCGAATGAAGGAGTCGATAGAGCTAATTGAAATGCATAGACTGATACTATAAATAACCTACGATTTTAATAAGTTATAGTTTACCATAACTTTGTTAAAGCTATTGGCATCAAATAGAGGAATGTTAGGAAAAACTATTTCATTTTGTCATTCACTTACTGAATGTACAAATTTCTAATAATGCTTAGTTGAATTAACCTTACGGTTGAGTTTTTTCAAACATCTATGCATCATGAGATAATTTCATAAGTGTTTAGCAACGAATCAAGACTTTGTCACCTAGTGAGATGAGAAATATCGATGAATTTGAAAGTAAAATTAGCAATAATCATGTGTAAAATATTTCTTAAAATTCATTCAACAAACAACTGATTGTTTCCGTGTTTCAAACGGTTGAATTGTCGGTTTAATCACAATAACTTCATTATATGTTGTGACTTTAGATATCTAAGTATTCCAACCATGGTTGGTATATTTTAAAATATCTATCCACTGATTTATTGCCTAAACATTTACTAACAGAAAAGGCTAAGCATATAGCTGTAATCTGATAAGTTCTCTACTTGAGTAATGCCAAACCACTGTACAAATGACAACACCGAACATTAGACTCCCACCGTTCAAAAAAAAGAAGACGGAAGACGTTGGAGAGCACTTATTAACGGAATCAAAAATATACAATGAAACATGCGTATTTATACAATTATATATATAATCGATATTGTCCATATTGTCCATATTCTTGATGGCTATCCCAACATAATCCACCGATGATTACCTAAAAGATTAAAACTATTGACTTATGAGCGATTTTCAGCGACCCTTTAGAAATGAAACTTCTGACTCGTTAATGCATTTCGATATTGTTTTAAATGAAATCTAAACGAAAGTAAATCAATCATATATTAAATAACATTATTGATGCTCTGATTTTCGGTCAAAAAATGGTGTGGTCATTGGACATTCAACTGGTTATTAATACTCAGCATGAGACGCTTTTGGTACCATTATATTTGATGGTGAAAGTAAATTGTTTATTTGTACTGTAGACAAACTAAGTAAACGCAATTCTTTAGGAATTCAAGATTATTTGTTTTAATTGTTTAATACTTTTTTAAAACTATAAATTATTACTTTTTTTCACATTGTACTCTGTAAAATCGACTATGTAATAGGCAGCCGATAGTTTATAACAATGCTATATGTACTAATAGAGTCGATCATCTTTAGTAATAAACTGTTATTATTTCCTAAAGTTGAAACTATGACAAAGTAATAATTTTGTGAAATCAAAATAAAATGTAGAACAAAAAAGAAAAAGTAAAGAACAATTAATATGTCACGTTTTGTCCTATATATATCTTTTTTTTATTACAAAGTATTCTTTTATTAAATCATACGAAGTAAGAGTTCATTATAGGAACAGAAAAAGTACACATCATAATTAATTGCAATTTAACAATCAGATTAATAATTCAGTCTTTGATCTAACTGTGAATAGATTTTATCAGTATTCTTAAGAATACATTTTTCTTTTTAGGTTATTCAGCTTCTATAAACATCGGTTTAGAACAAATATTATTCATATTGATTTTTGTTCGACTTATAACACATCATTATTAGAGGCATTCGATTTGATTAGCAAATTAAGAAAATAGTTTATGCAATTCAAAGCGACCCTATAAAAGATTGAAGCACTAATGCTGTAAATCCTTTGTTTGAAAAATTAAAACAGATAAGTTGAAGAATTTCAATAACTAGATAGATTGTTAATAATAAAATAATGATAAATATGTAATATCCAAATGAGTAGAAAATTGAATTCCTTCAAGGTCCGAGATATGAATGAGTTACTTGCTACCTCCTCGAAAAGGTAAGGGGGAAAGAGAAAGTTTATGTGGCTACTAACGGATACTCACAAACATATATATATATATATATATACTTCTTAGAGAATGGCATGTACTTTCATTTAGGATATTTTTGATTAGCATCAAGTGAACTGCTGGTGTAGTTTCTTCTGATTAGCTCTCTATTTGAATACTGCTTATTATGAGTTGTCTATCTGAAGAATAAATAATCAAAACTCAAATTACGATATCCAAATTTATCACTCTCAAATTTACAGTATGAATATCTGTTAGGACAGTCAATATTTGTTATTAACCAACAGGAATTACAAATTTTTCATATAATGATTGAAAAGTAATCGGTTACATGATTAAGCTGCTGTGATTCGAAAACCTATGAGTCTAACTCTTATCTGATATTTCGAGTTATTTTCTCCTGACTATGTAAAGTAGATTAGTTTTTCCGTTAGAGGATTAACAGATTATGGCGAAATTTTGTTCACTGAGCTGCATGTTTTGGTTACGGTGCTTTGATTGTTCTCCTGAACAACATCATCAGCACAAACTTCAGGTAGAAGTGAAGTATTCGGATTTCTCCATGTATGACTAATAGCTTGTCCTGTTGACCTCGATCTTGATTGGTTGTTATTGACATTTTACCTGTCATTGTTTGCCTTTTTAGTTTGATTGTATCCCCCTTTTGATCTGTTTCTTGATCCTAAGCTTGTCTACAATTTTTCTGATTGGTTGATAGATGGATCAATGTCGATGTGTTTATTGACTGAAGATTAACATTAGCGCCAAGATTCGAAAACTCTTGTGTTTTACTAATTCCCCCCATCCAATATTTTAACACTATATGTCCACAGCTATCCTCATATATTGTAGGGGGAAGGTATGTCATGGCGTTTGACCTCTAATTGATATTCACGTAGGCAAAGCTGATAGGAACATCTTTCTTTTCCGCTGTAGTGTTTTTCACAGTTTGAACAGTTTATTTTCTAGATGATGTTCGATTTCTTTTTTTTGTGATTTTGTCCCATGGTTTACACAGGTTTAATTGAAGTGATTCTGTTGGTTTATGTACTATGCATATTCTAAACGGCTTCATTAATCTGACTGTAATTATGTCAGAATGATTTGTTGGTTAGTTTCTGTGCTTATGTTCAACTTAGGATGATATTTTTTGATGAAGTTGAGTTCTTCTAGAAGATGATCCCTTGATATTTTTCTTCGCTTCTTCGTGCTGCACGTGAACTGCAGTGTCTTCACTCTTTTGAATAAAGTATGCAAGCACTTTAGTTTGTGAGTCATTGGGTTGTTACTGTAGTTGAGAATTAGTTTTGTGTAGGTTGGCTTCCAATATAATTGACTCCCCAGTCAATTCTTGTGGTCAATAAATTCAAGTATGATAATTTGTTGTTTAACAACTTATTTGAAATACAATGGCTTTCACTTTGTATATCGCTTTTACATATTTTAAGGCAAAATGATATCATCATACAAAAAATACTTAACTTTTATTTGATAATATCATTTAGGGAATAAATTGGTTTCAAAACCTGTAGCAGTAAACTGGTTAGATAGTATGCCATTACATGTAAAATTCGATTATCTTAAAGCTGAAGCTTATGTTTTTGAGAATAAATAAAAAAATTTGGACGCAAAATAAAATCTCTGTTTTTACCAAGCTGTTAAAATATTCAAGTATATATGCACGCTTGGTACGTGGAAATAAATTACCACAGATGTATCCGCTTTAGACAGTCACTAATTTCCTCGAACAATCGGAACAAATGGATTAATTCATTACATCTTTTAGGTAGCTTAGTTTTTTCAGTAGGTTCTCAAGATTATTTCATCAAGTCATACAGAAAGTTATATCGTTTAATGTAACGGTTATTCAAATCAAAAGTTATGTCTTACTTCTCTACAAAAGAGATTTTGTAGGTGGTTTTAAAATGTTTTCATTTGTCACAAAGTTAAATTTGTTTTATTCGGAGTAGTCTACTAGCTGAGAATGTGAAATTAACATTTCTTACTTACACATTTGAAATCATTACTTAATCTGGTTATTCGCTTTTGGTAGTGATTGTAAAATATCTTAGCCATTATATTACTTGTCGATATCATCATAGACAAGTATTTGTATTTTTATAGTTGCAGAGGTAGTAAAGGTAAGACAAAATGTCTTGTCAACCAATCTCGGTCAAATTTTAGTCAAAATACCAACTACAAGATGATCTAAACCATTTCAAAATGACTGAATCTCATACTCATTGCACAAGAGAGTCGCTGTCTGGACTCAGTAGCTAGGTAGATGACTCGATGTTGTGTGAATCAAACGGTGCTGAATTCGACTTTCGGAGTAATCATTCAATCTGTCATCCAGGTGGTAAGTCCTAAATAGGACGAAACAGGCGTCCTGAGTTCCACTGTTATCCAAAATTTGTCTGTTCTGTATAAATTTACAGTAATATTTTTCTTAATATCTAGATCAATACGTATTTTAATTTAATTTCTTATTTTCTGATTCACAGACAAGTGTAGTTCAAAAGATACAAACTTCAAAGTAGGTTTATTTTTGAATTTTATTTTGATATTGGACAAAGTAATTGGTTTTTCTTAACCTTGCAATTTTATTGCCCTAGTTTTTAGTGATTCTTAAATCAATGTTCAATAAGTAATCTCATCACAGAAAGGTAAACAATTTGAAAAATGCAATACAAAATGTCTTTCATATCAAGTATAAAATAAAGTAGGTATAATCAATGCCTATTAATTTATCACAATCACCTATTGTTTAGGCAAGTGAAACAGCAGGTGACTAGAAGTGGGTTAAAACAGCAAACATGCAATGACCGTTCTTATTTTCATCAGTTTTTTAAGGAAGTTTATAGCTAAAACCTAACAATATATCTTGATTGACACTTGAATCTAAACTTTTCGTTCCATTTATCAGTAATAGGTGTACCTACGGATCAAACTATATTTATCGCTTAATAAAATCTAATAAACAGAAAACAGAGTGTGTGGGTTATTGTATAATTGAACATATTAAACTGAGATGCTACAGCATGGCGAATCCCTAGTTTTAGTGGTCACAACTCTGTTTTATTAGTAAATAATCAATACTTTTGGATCTTTAAAATAGGATAGTATTATATGAGCTATCAAAAAGGCTGTGGTAAAAATGTTTTTACTCCAGTTTTCGTTATTTTAGTTGATTTCTGATTTTAACTGGATAGAAATAGACTTTGTGGCGTTGCGTTTGTAAGTCAGGCTCACCAAAATAACTCAACTGTAAGTGAGGTGCTGTAACTCTATTTACGGGTTTCGGAATGAAACAACACTTACTTGATTCATTTTTTGTTACCATTAACTGAAATAGTTTACACTGAAATGTCAGTAACATTAATTGTATTGTAACTAACTCAACTACTGGAGTATTTAACTAAATATGTGGATGCCAAAAGTTTCATTTCTTTATTAATCATTTTGATTGCTAGCAAGGTACAAACCTTAACATTCATGTACGTATTAACTAATAACACTGGAGTTCAAGTAATTTCTCCTGGTTGAATAAAACATAGTTAAGGAACAAATTCATTTTGTGAATCTCGTGAACGATAAATACTTAATTTTTTTGTAATAATTATGATTAAATTAAATGTGAGTGTTTTTTATTGACCCTAAATTTATAAATCATGAGAAAATAAATCTGATAACTATGATTACTTAGTTGAAAGAAAATTTTAGTTAAAACTGTATTATTTTAAATAAAAATGTCAAATATTTTTTAAATCAAGAACCTATTCCATGTATCATACATGATATTGAGTCAGCTTATTGTAAAACTTTCAACAAATTAGTAGAACTCAAAAAGTATTACTATAACTAACTCTCTCAAACTAACCAACGATATGACAGAGTGAAATGATATTCACAGCAATATATACAATACGATACGAACAAATCAATGTCAGATGACTGGAAGACACATTATAATCGTCATTATCTTAAGTGTATGCATAATGAATTAATTACCATTATTTATTGTTAGTTCACTATCAAATTTAATGTATAATTACCTACTTATGAATTTAACAGAACATAAAATTTTTATTTCTCCAAATAAATAATTCAACGTAACATAATTATTCTAGAATTAGAATAAAGATAAGCAACCGAACCATAGTCTTCAATTACAAATGTTGTTGCATTGACGCTGTTGCATCCCCCATAAACTATTTACATCTTGAAGGATCAAATTAATATTTTTCCTTGAATGTTTTCGTGGTGATAAATTTTCGAGACACTTGTTATACAACAAAAAGACAAAACAACAATTTGCCACATTTCTTTTTTTTTCTAGAAACTCGTACAACTACTGACATCCAAAAATACATTAATTTTCATCAGATCTTAAAATGAACCAAATCCTACCATTGACTCTAAGAGTCAATTCTTCACTATATTCAATCAATTTTTTATGTTTATTACTATGTTTTAATGTTCGATTGGAGTTCATTAAATATCATTACGTTCATTGTCTTAGTTCTCAATTGATTCCCTATCATTTTTCTAAATAGTGACGTGAACATCTCACCAAAACAAGTATTCCGCTGTATTGACTTTTATCTATTGTGGCTCGTAATGTTCTGCAATATAATTCCTATTACAACAATTACTTCAACTTATAAGGTAGATATTTTTGTTCTTTGCACTTAACCTATGTAATTTTTATTTGTTCGTTACTAAAATTTGGTACTCGATTGTGTTATTGCAAAATGAAATCAAAAAGAGAACCTCTGCAAGTAATGGTTCTCTAAATAGCTGTTTCAACCTGCTTTTGTGCTCATCCACATCATTCTTTATGAGTTATGACCCCTTAACTTCAAATCTCATAATGAATGGAATACCAATGAATTCCTTGGTTTGTATCTAATGGTCTAGATTACTAAGTAAAGTTGGTTTGCGATTTAGTTCACAGTTGCTCGTCCACTATATTTCACCTCTGTCAAGAAATGATAATTGCAACATTTATTGAACATAAGATTAACTGTCAGATTACTGATCTATCTGTTTGCACAGTTAGTTAGTGATCACGTTGTTTAAATGTTTAAATTTAGACTCGAATTCCGTTCGAGCACATGATTGCTCAACCAATAATTACTCATGACTATCTGTTCAAATGTTATTACAATACCAATCTTTATATATCTGTAGACTAAATTCTCTTATTTCTTTTTCTTAAAGCAATTCGGTCAACAGTACATTTCAGACGACAGATTTTTGTCAGCTATAGTTACAATTTCATCTTTATTTAATTGCGGAGGTCGTGTGATGTGGGGTTCTATCGCCGATCGATTTTCGTTTAAAGTATGCAATATTCTTTGATATTTTGCATAAATTTTACTCATGAGCGTATTTTGGTTGATTTTTAATAGGATTATTGAATTCTGATCATTTCTCTGAAGTTTCCTTTATCGAGTTTATCATACAAACCATGATTGTACTAAATGAAGCAAAGCATAATAATCCGAGGAATTAACCCTTGGGGATGTTAGATCCTCAGAATTTGCTTGATAAATATCTTTATTTTGGATTTATTTCATGGACCGATCAGTTGACCATGAGATTACAGTTCTCATCAGGAAAATCCCTGGCTGTGATTGGTTATTGTGTCATTTAGTGGGCTATTTTTGTGACTGTCCCAAGGACGTCTCCATAGAGTATAAATAAACGCAATTTGAGTGCTTGGATTCATTGTGTGCTGGCTGGGTGTTTGTAGAATACAATTTCTACGCTATATCAAGACTTCTCGCTGATACAATTTAGTCAAGGGATCACAGTGGCCTACCTGGACGCTGGTTCATTGTCTCGTTTGCGTTTATCGACTAAGGCGAACTCGTAATAGTTGAAGCATATATAGAGACGAGCGTAACATTAACCTGTGCTTGTGACTAAACCATGAATCCTAGGTTGCTTCAGAAAGTGAAATTGGTTATCTTGGTAATGTGTTAATATTTGTCTGATATCTTAATGCACATTGTTGACTGACGTTCCATCGTCGTTGTCTTCTTATTACAGGGAAATTCACAAAATTTGCCTTCCCTATCTGACCTGGACAAATCACAATCTCGTAAACAGATAATTGCATATTTGTTTAACATCTAACATTTCTCCAAATAGCTCGCATCCCGATAAGTTAATTGTATCAAAGTAGGACGTAGCCCTTTACATTTATAAAGTACTTCAGCCACAGATTTGATAGCCATTTTTTCTAATTCATCACTTCTAATTTACATTAAAAACTCCTCAAAATATTCTTTTTATTACAACTGTGCTTGCTGTAAGTACAGTTATTTGAACAGCATAATATATTTGGTCCTAAAAATTACAGAGATTGTGCTTCTACCTCACATACAATACTATTTGACAAAGGCTAATTCACATATTTCCACGTCCATACCATTATACCAGTTAGATCTTCTCAAACAGATTAAAGAGTTCACACTTTGATTTGTTTAATCTCCGGTTCGGAAATAAGTAATAGTCTATGTGTATTACACGACGTTGATGCGTATAAAGTACACTCCTGGACTGAAGTCTACACTAAGTTATCAATAATTTGTGCCCTCAGTTACGTTAGAGCTCTTTTTGGAGTTGGTTTTGTTATTTATAAAGAGAACTTGAAGATTTGTAACATGGTGAGGGTTTTAATGTTGTCTCAATGAGACCACACTTTGTAGTCTATTCTCATTCTTGACTCACTGCATTCCTTTTCCGTCTACATTTTTCAAAGTCACTTCGTATTCTCGCTGAATATGAGAACTAAATTCTGTTTCAGTTTGTTTAAAATTGTGCTGACGAAAAAAGTGTCTACTCATTTCTTGTTTCTTTTGCAGGTGCCTTTATGTGTCAAACTTGCTATTTGGTCTGTTGTTCTGATAACATTTCCACATTTGTCATTATTTTCGGAAACGGTAATTAAAATATTATTTCCGATCTGGGTATTCGCGTTATTTACCTTATTCTGCGGAACACTTGTCCTTATCCCAAATGCAACTGGTACAGTTTTTGGGCCGGTCAATTTAGCTGTGAATTATGGTTTAATATTTTTAGCATTTGTAAGTTTTTAGTCAAGTTTATGTGTTATATTATGACTTGTGACGATGCATGATGATAACTATCCACCATTTTCAATTTGTATTATTTAAAATATCCTTCAGAGAGATCTTCTGATTTATTTATCTCGTTTGTAAATAATAGCTTACTTTTAGATCATATTTATGAATACACGTGTTGCAATGTAACAACAGAACGCCACAATATCGTGAAATCTAATTACCTCACCAGCACATATTATTTGCTTACGCCTGTTGCTCCTCTTGGAGCATAGGTCATCAAACAGCAATCTCCAAAGAACTCTTTCTTTCCACTTGTTCCTTATGACTATTCATTCTTTGGTCATATGTCAAATTATTAGAATGGTGTGTTCTTTAGTCAGCCTATTTCATTCAGGCCTTGAAGGTTTGAAGTCTGGGGTTACCTCGTAATGCTTTTGGGTAAATTCAGCGATATATCCTACCCTGCCCCCAGAGCTTTTTTCTCATTATTTCTTCAGCAGTAAACTGATTTTTTCTTTCCAACGACAGGTTGTTTGTATCTGGCAAACTGATCCGCAGTATCTTGCGTAGACAACTGTAAGTGAACACCTGTATCTTTTGAATGGCGATCTCCTTAGCTCTCCAAGTTTTTGTTCTGTACAACTGAACTGTCTTGACATCTATATTGAAAATTCTGACTGGTGTTGGTTGACAATTGTTGTCAAATGCTTTTTCGTACTCAATGAATTTCATATACTGACGAGTTCTTTTCAATTGACTGTTCAACAGTGATTCGTGGTGATCATTGTTGACTACGGATCTAACAGTGAATGTTTACATATTTATATATTAATTACCACCAAAAATGCTGAGTTTTTAATTCTTATACCTTATTTTCTATGTTGCTTCTTGTTTCACTATTGATTCCCATTAAGTTTGAATTAATGTAAAGATGAAGTTGAGTAATTAGTACATTACAAAAATGGTGGAAAACAACATCACTTGTATTGTACACTTAATAATTTATCCATCAACTAATTCACTTATTATCTTCATTATAATAATTTGCAGTTCGGTTGAAAGACATAATTTGACTCGATAATCAATCTTTGAACAATGACGGACGCAACACTGAAAGCCAGACAGATTACTCTTCTTTTAGTCTTGCACTTAGTATACGTGAGAGTTATGCATTAAATCCTAATTGAGAGATTTCCTTATTGTCTCAGAAAAAAAATGTTGAGAAATGCATCTAACGTTCACATTTATAGTTTTTCAGTGTCTCTATAATAAGATTAAAAAAAAATAAAATTCAGACGTGCGTGAGTGTACAAGAAGTAAGTGGGCGAATAAAAATCGTTTGACACACGTAATAAAATAGAATTTATAGTTCCTGACAGAATTAAAATAGTGCCAGATGTATCCAAGTAAACTCATTACATCCTGTTTTTCTTATTTCTAGTCTTTTGGAAGTTTCACGTGCGCGATTTTCACAACATTTTTAACTCCAGATGGTGCTTACGTATTCCAATATACTTCCTGTGGAGCCGTCTGCTTAGTGGGTAAGAAGATATTTTTTAATATATGTACGAGACATTTCTGTTGCTTTGAATTCCTAATGCCTCATAAGGATTTAAAAAAGGCAATGCATAAAGCAATGAATGAATATAACATTAAGTTACCTAGTTAACACTACTTTTCATCTAAGTATTTCGTGTGCTTAATTTATATTCCTATAGTAGCTATCAATCTTTTTTCGGTACAACAAGACGATCAGTCTACAAAATAAGATTTTATTTATTGAGTGAAAAGAAGGCAAAATAACCCATATTATATTTGAGTATTCATGCTCATGAGTATCCGTGAAAGTAGCAGAATCAGTTTATTCTTTCAGCGCATAAATTACATACCTTTATTCGAAGTTTTCAGTGCGTTCGTAACATAGAATGCCAAGTACAGGAGATGTATAAGAGGTTATTAGAATATATAAAATCTATGGGTTGTTTTGGTTCACAAACCAGAAAATATGAATACTACTGTTTGCATAGGAGGCAATGATGTGTATTATGTTAAAAAAAACTAAACATACCTTCTGAATAATTGAATTGGAAATACTATTTTTAAGAATCCCTCCTATGTTAAGCTTGAGAATCCTGATGTAGACGATCACTTTAATTGTTGTAATAATCTTCTGGACGATTTTGATTAACTGAATGATCCAAGAATTGCCTATAACTGGTTGTTTCTCCTTATTTTCTTCATAAGTGAATATTACTCCTGAATACTGCGCAAACAAACCACATCATCACTCTGTAATCGAAAGTATGAAATAAATGAAGTTCTATGAAAAAAATGACAAATATAATTCTCATGAATCTTAATGGTTATTTAGCAGCACGTTATCTATTTCAAGGCATCTAATGCCTAATGTAGATATATTTTATACACACCTAATATGCATAATACAATGTGTGAATAAAAAGACATAGAATGCAGAAATGGGATACACAATAAATTCACAGGGTGAAGTATTCAGGTCTGAGAAATTTTAGGGAAACAATTTCTAAAGGCTAACATCAGAAATAAGACTACAGAATGTCGTCAACCTAATACCTGTGCATAAATAATAACACCTATGTCTAAAGACCTAAAAGTCTGTTAACTCAGCTCGTGAAATAGAATAAGCAGGCATACAACCTACGAAATCAATTTTCAAATGTGTTTCCGTTTGTTTATGAATTGACTGCTCAAAGTGAATCCTATTTCAAATTGTAAATTGCATAATTAATAGAAATTAAGCAACATGATTTTCATATGCAGGGAATATTTTTTGTTTATATAAAGTGACATCTGATTTTGCTTTTCGACCAATAGCTCTGTTTATAACATTGTGGATCGAGGATAGAAAAACACCGGAGAAATGTCGAATCTGTGAATGCTTCGTTAGACGTTGTTTAAAACTACGAGTGAAACAACCTCCATGCAGTCCGCATGAGCTCCAAGCACTACGATCTTAATATGCAAATCTTATGATATTTATTACCTGCAGCTTAATTGATATATATACGTATAGGTCAATATATATCAACTTTTAAACTTCTATAAATCATTACTTCATGTACCGTAGTGATATTGCTTTGAATTCTTACGTATTAGTGCTGTTACGAATATCAATAAATGGCTTATTTTAATTATGAATATACCTTTTACTTTCTTCGCATTAAATACATGTCAGTATAATAATACTAGCTTTTGTCTTTTTGAAATACGAGAGTTCTTTCATTTTTGTCAAAATCTTCCAACCTACTCCTCGGAAAAGTCAGAATGAACTCAAAAGAGAAGTGGAAACATTTTATCTGATTAGAATAAAATAAAAGTTTTATGGAAACACTTAGAAGGATGATATACGGCAACCAATTTTGACGTGTGGAAGAGGACAGCCAAGAATACTTTTGTTTTGTAAATGGATGTTTAAGAAAAAGGTATAAACATTTCGGCTAGTAATCTGTTTCTCCGTCAATCGCGTTTATAGCAGGGCTGCAGGGCAGAGCCAGATCATCTCCGAAGTCCAGATCGTCCAACTGCATCTTAGCTTTCCAATGTATACCGTGCTTCCCTCAATATGTTGATGTCGTCATAATTCAGTCAATTACCAGTAGAAAGAGAAATGGTGAGAGTAAGCAACCTAGAATAACACCGGTTTTCACCTCAAACTAGTCTGTGAGCTGTCCTCCATGCACGATTTTGTAGTTTAATCCATCATAAGATATTATTATGGAGAGGAGAGTGATGCCCCTGTAGTTCTCACACTCGCTTTTCTTTGGTATTTTCATGCAGTATCATTCTTTCCAGTCTGTTGGTACTTATTTTCCATCCTCAATCTGATGGAAGAGAATATGCGGCATTTCTGACACATCTACATCCATTGCATCTGCTTGAATGTTCTCTTATCTCGTTGTTTTGCTGCTCTTGATTTGTCATATGACCATACTGATCTCTTCAATTGTCGGTGGGCCAATATGGATTGGGATGTGCGTGGATGCTGCTTCTATGTTTCGTGGGTTCAGTGGAGCTGGTCAATTCAAGAGATCCTTGAATTGCTCCATCCACCGATTTCGCTGTTCATCAGTGTTGCTGATTACTTCGCCTTCCTCACTTTTCACTGGTCGTTCTGGCTTGCTATGGTTTCCAGTGATCTTCTTTGTTGTATCGTACAGTCGCCTCAGGTTTCCTTGATTTGCAGACTTTTGCGCTGTCATTAATAGATCCTCCACTTATTCCCGTTTGCCGGCTCTGATGCGCTTCTTCACTTTCCTGTTCGCTTCTGTGTATTTAGCTTGTGCCTTAACTTTCTCTGCTCCTAATCGGCTGACATTGACTGCTGTCTTTTTGTTCATCCCTCCGCGAGTTTTTTCAAGACTATCAACAGACGTCCATTCCTTATGGTGGTACCTCTTATAGTAAAGAACCTCCTGACATGTTGAAGTGATTGCCTCATCGATCCCATTCCAATTCTTTTCCATGGTTGTTTCCGTTCCATTGAATAGATCGTGCAGGACCTGAAGCCTGTTGCTGAGAGCTATCTTATATCCGTTGAGCTTTCCAATATGCTGAAAAAAGGCCTTATTAAACATTTGTGATGCTGTGTCAGTTTCTTCAGTTTCCGTATCGTTCTGGTGACCAGAAAGTTGTGGTCTGATGAAATATGAGCCCCTAAGTGATGTCCTCTGTGGTCCTTCTGAACTTTTGATTGGTGCAGGTATGGTCGATTTGGTTATGTGTGGTGCTGTCCGGTGAAATCCATGTGGCTATATGTATGCATTAGTTTGGTAAGATTATGCCGTCGATGATCAGTGTGTTGAAGGAACAAAGCTTTGAAACACTCTCACAGTTTTCGTTACTTTCTCTCAGACCGCATCGTCCCACGATGTCTTCATATCCAGTGTTGTCCGTGCTAACCTTGGAATTTAGGTCTCCCTTCAGAATCGTTAATTCCTTTAATGAGCGTCTGTCAATAATTGACTGCGGCCTCTAGTAAAATTGATCTTTCATGTCTTCGTCGAAGTCGTCGGTAGGTGCATAGCATTGAATGATGCTCATTGTAATGTCATCTTTCTTCGTTTTGGAGGATGATTGACGATCCTGTATCCATGAGATTCCCATCCTATCAGTGCCTTTTGTAGTGAGTGCAACTCCTTGTGAATGTGAAGCATTCTTTTCTTCATTGTTGGAGTATAACAGCAGCACTACTGAAGCTAGCTTCCAATTCTTTTCGTTGATTCCAAGCACCTCCAGGTTGTTTCCTTTGATTTCTGTATCAATTCGGAATAGCCTTCCAGTCTCCAACAATGTTCGAACGTTCCATGTACCATTTGAAGACGTATTATTTCATACTGTAGCTCGGTTTTTTCACTACTGTCCTTGTCTACGTTAAAGTATACGGATAGGTTATGAACATGCAGAAAGTAAGTGGCTATGTGTCACGTGATATACTTAGCTCATTTATGTGACCCTTTCTGTTGAAGATTTTCACTTAAACATCCTGTACGTGTTACTGTACAAATGAAATGAGACGCTTTTCGCAAATTCGACAGCTGCCTCAATTAAACTACAGATCCATCGTTGTCTCCCATCGAATATATGCCCTTGTTATTCAGAGTTTGACAACACTTCTGTCAGTAACAACTACTACATCGAGAATATCCTAGACTGAAAGTAATAACAAGGCGTATTGAAGTTATTCTTAAAAGACAGTTGGAATGTCGAAAAGTGAGTAAATTAGGCTTAATAGTTGATGCAAGAAGAAGCCTTAAGGAGCATACGCAATGGTGAACTGATATGGACGCATGACCGAGCATCTTCAGTTAAGTTGGATTTAGTAAAACTTATTAATGTTGGCAACTTGTATGACTGTTTGTTTAAGGAATAATTATTTGTTACACAAATAGTGGTGCAAATTTCCTATCATTTAACGTCTCACTTAGATGAACATCAGCCTTATTTAGAGAAAAAGCAAGTGAACTACAATAATTAGCTGTATTAAATGTAGTAAACGACAAACAAATACCAGAGTTCGTCCAAAACTTACACTTTACAGTACTGAACATTTCCCTCACTTCATTAGGATCATTTACTATTTCATTCAGATATTGAACAACCTCTTTAAACCAAGACATTAAACAACTTTAACTCACGTCTCAAAACAATTTGTTTCGCGGTTTGAAGATCTGATTTCGGCACACTTGAGACAAACTCTGGGGTACGTGACTGTCCGGGTATTCTAACTAAGTTTCCCCTATTACTTTATATGTATCTTAATTTCCGGAGAATGTTACAGCTATTGACACTTCTGCCTACCGATTGCGCCAACCACAGGACAACAATATATAGTGCAGCAGACTTTCTTGATTCGGCCTAATTAGTAAGACATTTTCGAACTTGGTGTTTAGAAATTTGATATAAAACAATGCTCCTGTATACATGGGACTCACCAGTAATCCCTGGTCTCATTCAAAACCCACACGCAGCAACAAATCTCGGAGTAAAAAGCGAGTCATTATTCCCAAAGACAAAAAACATATAATACATCAGCAGCTGAAAGTTTGCAAGTAGTATGGTCCCCCGAGTCTCCGATGGATATATACGTAGATAATTATTGAAGGTAGTTTATGTTAATTGTCGTTGACTACTTAAGTAAAATGGTAATAAGGTGAGTTAGAAGCGGCTTCATCGCGTTCAATTAGAACGGCTGTTAGGTTATCACAGAAATGTATTGATAACAATTGGTAGCTACCACGAAATACAATCGCGGACGAATAAGCCAGTCTATGACATGAAGTCAGCAGACGTACTTCTACAGCCCTTGGCCTAGATATGGATCGGTAGGCTGTCTGACGTTGATTGACTTACTAGCCAGGAAAGTATTTAGAGCTCCGTATTTTAGATTTTTTGACCCCGCCTCTACAGAAGCCCACTTAGATAATTCTATCTAAATGCCCGTATGATGACACACTTGTGCGTGTCCAAAGCGTTGGACTTAGTTTGGAACCGGAATTAGCATCTGCCCCATAACAAACAATAAGACTCTTAAGACTATCGCCATTTATTTTCAAGTAGGAACTTCCTTTTTACCCGAACCTAATATACAACTGAGTTAATTTAAGTAGAATAGGCTTGAATCATCAGAATTTTCAAGAGAAACGTAAAGATATAATGACGCAGATCCGAAGAATTTAAATATCTCGAGAATGTACTATTGTGACATTTTCTTTATATTAAAATATATGCCGAGCCATTATCACCACTCCCCTCGAGGCAATCCTTGAAGAATTGTGCATCAGAGAGTGAATACTCAGATCAGTACACACTTTCTCATTAGGGTCATTGCAACTTGGAATGCTCTTCCAGCGAGGGTGATCACAGCCCCCTCAGTGGACAGCTTTAAGAATGGCCTTGATAAACACGTACTCAAAAAAGGATTATCATCTCCCTCTTGGACAAGATGTGCCGGATGCATGTCTAGAGACTTGCAAGTTGTGATCATTGCTGTCTCCTCAGATCACTAGCCTAAGCTATCTCGCTTGTTGTCTCTGCTTTTCTCCCTTGCTTACACTTCGATCCTCTCTTACAATCTTCACTAACAATCAATAAACTAAATTATCTATTTATATACTTAGTTCTGAAATCTTATTAGCATCAGAATTTTCTCCTTATAATTCTCCACACTGCAACTAGCTGATCTTCGGCCTGACAGTTTGACAGCTGCTGGTATCCAGAACCCCTAATGCCCTGAAATAAATGTATTCATTCAAATCAGGGGACAAACTATTATGCAACTGCCAACCGACTAGAATTAGACAGTCAAGTGGCTAGATCCTCATTTATTGTATACTACTAAACACCAAAAAATCGTACTGAAAGAAGAACAAGAATCGAATGCTCGTGAAAAAGATAGTGGACATATTGGTAGTGCTTTGTTAAAATACACTACTTAGCCTTGTGAGCATTAGGCACTATTACAAAAATCTTAGGTAGTGGTAATGTCTATTCGTTAT